GATACAATCCCCAGTCCTAGCAATAGCCGATCAGGACAGGCCATTTCATGTGGTCTGTGATGCCAGCGATTTCGCAATCGGCTGTGCATTAATGCAGTACGACCTTGAAGGCGTTGAACGCGTCGTCTGCTATCAGTCGCGTCAGCTGCAACCAGCTGAGCGGAACTATCCAGTGCATGACAAGGAACTCCTTGCCATGAAGTATGCACTCGCGAAGTTCAGAGTCTATCTATTAGGAGATAGACCCTTCGTTGTTTACACTGACCATGCGTCCTTACGCACGGCAGTGAACAGCCCGCACCTTTCACAACGAATGGCGCGGTGGTTGTCATTCTTTGCAGAATACAACTTTACGGTCGAGTACAAACCAGGACGACTTAATGTCGTCGCTGATGCACTCTCACGTCGTCCCGACTTTGAAACAGTCGCGAAACCCAACAGTGAGACAGTCACTGTTGCGGTTATGACGTCCTCAGTTCCATCTACAACGTTGTATGATGATGTGAGGCGGGCATACGCCCAAGATGGTGAGATAGTGAAGTTGTTGTCACATCTCTCCCAACCATCTCGAGAATCGTTGAAACGATTGTCGTCTGCGTATCGATCTGCATCAGATCGATACACTACTCGTAACGGTTTACTGTACTATACAGCCGTTTCTGGTGACACACCACGTGTTGTCATTCCAGATGATACTGATCTGCGTTTGCGGATCATGTTCGAGTATCACGATGCTCCTATAGGAGGACATCGTGGCCGAGAGAAAACATATCTCACGGTAAGTCGAGACTTTTACTGGCCCCGCCAGTATCAGTTTGTGCGAAAGTATGTTCGCGCATGCGAAGTCTGCCAACGAGTGAAGTCAAGTCCTTCACTGCGTGCACCTTTACAGCCTCTACCGGTTCCGGCTGAGTGCTGGGAATCCATCTCAATGATTTCGTCTTCGGGTTACCCAAAGACGCACGCGGGAATACGGGTATTCTCGTATTTGTTGACAGATTCAGCAAAATGGTACACCTTGTGGCTGTACCAGAGACAATCACGGCAAGTGGCTGTGCTTGTGTCTTTATTGACACCATCTTCCGACTTCATGGGTTGCCCCGTGAACTCGTATCAGACAGAGATCCACGATTCACTGCTGATTTCTGGCGTTCAGTGTTCAAATCACTCGGAACGCGCTTGAAGATGTCAACATCTGATCATCCAGAGTCAGATGGTCAGACGGAACGTGCCAATCGTGTCCTTGAAGAGATACTTCGAGGATACGTACACTCCTTTAAGAGTTGGAGTGAGTTTTTGCCGATGGTAGAGTTTGCCATCAACAACTCGGTGCATGCGTCCACGACACATACACCGTTTTACGTGAATGGCTTGCGCCATCCGCGTGTACCCACCTTACTAGAGTGTAACTCTGGTTTAAGGGGGGGAGGGACTCGCGCGAGCAAAAACCGATTTGGTTAACGCTCATCACGCTCTGACGAAGAAGTCATTGCGTTTGATGCCGATATCGATAACATCGATATCGAAGAAGATGATGCCAGTGAGAGTGCGGAAGCCCTCACTGAAGACAATGATCCCGGTGAGAGTGCGGAAGCCCTCACTGAAGAAAAGGTTGTTGTCGCTGCAGTGCGCTCACAGCACACTGAAGCTAACGAGTCATCAGATGAGTTCATACTGGCTCGTGAAACGGTAGTACGTTTTGTGCAAGACTCCATCGCTGAAGCGGTGGATAAGCAAAAGCAAAACGCTGACAAGAATGGAAGGGCAAACACTCTTTTATTTAATAAAGGTGACTTAGTCCTACTGTCTACGGTTAATCTACCAAAACATGTAGTGACTAACTTGGGTAGCAGTAAACTACTACCCAAGTACATTGGCCCATTTCGTGTATTGCACCGCCTAGGCAATGCATACACGATCGAGTTACCACGTAAGATGCGAACGCATCCCACGTTTTACGTTGGTCGGCTTAAGCCGTACCATCAGTACGCTGCTTCTTCCGATGAAGAACGCCCTTGCGCTCAAGCATCTCGCAGAGAGCCTTGTGCTCCCGATGGTGGGCATCAACAAGGGTCTGAAGAGCAGTTATCTCATCCCGAGACCGATCAACAATCCCACGAGCTACCCTTAGCTCGTCACGAAGAGATGTCAGAGATCTCTCTCGTTCTCAAGCTGAGCAAAGGCAAACTCAGCTCGATGCTTCGAGGCAGTGTCCACCATCTGGAGACGCCTGTCCCGCTCATGCTCGAGATCGTCGCGTAACCCTTGCGTTACGCGATCAAAGAAGCTCTCGGGAACACACCGATCCACATGATCGTGTGGAGAGCGTCTTTCCTCCTCCTCCACCTCCATTAGAGGACTCTCGCGGTGGCCAGCGCTATCTAGTAGAGCAGCTGTTGAACCACCGCGACGTGAACGGACGTCGGACGAGTTACCTCGTCCGGTGGCGCGGCTATCCCCCGTCCTGGGATTCTTGGGAGCCCCGCTCCCAATTGATGGTTGACGTACTGGGTCTGGTCGAGCAGTACGACGCGACACATCCTGTGCCGCAGAAGGACCGCCGGAGAAAGTCTTCCCGGCACGGTCGTAAAGGTATTTCAGGTTGTCAATCCCTTCGTACATCTCAGTAGAGACACGTACGCGCCACCACGGGCTGGTAAGGAGGTAAGCCTCCTTAGGTGCTCGTGCAGAGTTGTTCACACAACATGGGCACGAGTCTCCCCAAGAAAGGCAGGGTAATCCTTTCTCCCTTGACAGACGATGCAGCTTGTAGCGTGCACCTATCGGGGTTCTTTTCTCAAACTTATCACGAGCTTTGATAAGTTTGTCGTTCCAAGCGTCACGACCTACATCCTCGAGATTATGGATGTAGGCGTTCCACGCCTGAAGTAGTGAGGGACCATCACGTTTGTGATTCCCACTGTACCATCGATGTCTGAAGAAAGCATCGATGAAGAACTCATGTTCAGCGCGATAGTCTTTCGCGCTGGGGTCAAGGTGATGAATCCTCGACGAATCGAACAATCGTGTTCGATAACGATCACTCGTCGTCGCCGACAAGTGATCCATGACAGATTTAGGAGGCATCCATGCCTTCTTTTCTGGAGCGAGACGCAACACATTGCGGTCCCGCTCTTCCTGCGACGTGCCGACAGAAGTACTGGCACCTCGCTGTGAAGTGGTGTCCATTGGAGAAACGACACCACTATTAGCGCCCGAGTCTCGCGACCTCGAGCGCCTTCGCTTCGGCGATGGTTCATCTGACTCATCAGATGAACCAAAGATGCTGCGACGCAAAGCATCGTCCATGCCACGCTTGGCAGGCGGCTTGGATTCAATTGCCATCGATACGGATCCGTCATCCGTATCAGGAGAGTACGAGACACCGAGCTCGTACTCAGTGAAGACACGAGTGTCTTCATGACCAGCGCCTGCATCACCAGGTGATACAGGCTGAGTCGATTCAGCAACCGATGGGACATCAGTTGCTGTAGTTTCTGCTTCGGCGTCCGCACAGAGACGTGCAGACGCGCTCTCGGCGGCCTTGCTCGCGCATCGCATGGGCTTGTTTACCATGCGATGAGATGTTGGAAAGTGGACGCGGACCAACAAGTGCAAACCCCGTCCCAAATGATTTGGGACGAGTATCCATTTAGTCAATCAGTCACTAAAGTGACTGATGGTTAAGGGGGGGGTGATGTAACGGGGTGAATCGTTACATAACAATTTATAAGAAATTGTTAATAGAATATAACTATAAGAGTTATGTTCTCAGAATATTGTCATAAGGACAAATATTCTGCAGCACTTACGCGTAGTTCCTAATTGGTTGATGTAGGCCATTATATCAACCAACGAAGACGCGCCACGACAGACGCACGCAATGAGTGGTGAGCAGATAATTGATTTACACATTTGTATTCATACATAGTCAGATGAAGATAAATAGTGATTTATTGCAGACATTAACTATACTAAATACAGTTCTACTTTTTACTTTAACCAAGTACTCGCTTCTTCTTACCGTCTTCCTCTGCACGTACGAGTGTACGTGAAGTTACGAGGCACCGCCTTATTCTGTTATCAGAATAAGTAGCTTGTACTGTCACCAGTACAAGCTTCAGGGTGCCCCGTTACAGAGATTGTCTAGCGTGACAATTCCCTACCAATATTATCCGAGATGGATAATATTGAACTGATATTATCCCCTTAGGATAATATACATGTGCTGCTCAAATCTTGGTTGATTAAGACATGTCAACCAAGAGTACCACCAATCGCTGCTAGACGCGCGTAATGAGTGGTGAGCAGGTTTTTTCGTCATACGACAATGTAGATTGCAATGGTTGGAAAAAGACTGGAGTTACATTGATAGCTTAACTGTATTAAATACAGTTCTCTTTTTACCCTTTGCTCAAACTAGCTGTAACGGGGCACCCTGAAGCTTGTACTGGTGACAGTACAGGCTACTTATTCTGATGACAGAATGAGGCGGTGCCTCGGAACATCACGTATACTCGTACGTGCAGAGGAAGACGGTAAGGAGAAGCAAATACTTGGTTAAAGTAAAAAGTAGAACTGTATTTAGTATAGTTAATGTCTGCAATAAATCACTATTTATCTTCATCTAACTATGTCTAAATACAAATGTGTATATCAGCTATCTGCTCACCACTCATTGCGTGCGTCTGTCGTGGCGCGTCTTCGTTGGTTGATATAATGGACTATATCAACCAATTAGGAACTACTCGTAAGTGCTACAGAATATTTGTCCTTATGACAATATTCTGAGAATATAACTCTTATAGCTGTTTTCTATTAACAATTTCTTATAAATGTTATGCAACGATTCACCCCGTTACATCACCCCCCCCTTAACCATCAGTCACTTTAGTGACTGATTGACTTAATGGATACTCGTCCCAAATCATTTGGTACAGGGTTTGCACTTGTTGGTCCGAGTCCACTTTCCAACAATTCATCGCATGGTTAACAAGCCCATGCGATGCGCGAGCAAGGCCGCCGAGAGCGCGTCTGCACGTCTCTGTGCAGACGCCGAAGCAGAAACCGCTGCAACCGATGTGCCATCGGTTGCCATAGCTTCTCAGTCTGTATCACCTGGTGATGCAGACGCTCGTCACGAAGACACTCATGTCTTCTCAGAGTATGAGCTCGGTGTCTCATACTCTCCTGATACGGAAGAGGGATCCGTATCGAAGGCGGTTGTAACCAAGCCGCCTGCCAAGCGTGACATGGATCATGCTATGCGTCGTAGCATCTTTGGTTCGTCTGACGAATCAGATGAACCATCGCCAAAGCGAAGGAGCTCGAGAACGCGAGACTCGGGCGCTCACAGTGGTGTCGGTTCTCCTATTGACACCACTTCGCAACGAGGTGCCAGTACTTCTGTCGGCACGTCGCAGGAAGAGCGGGACCGCAGTGTGTTGCGTCTCGCGCCCGAAAAGAAGACATGGCTGCCTCCAAATTCAGTCATGGATCACTTGTTGGCGACGACAAGTGATCGCTATCGAACACGGTTGTTCTATTCATCAAGGATCCATCACCTTGACCCCAGTGCGAAAGAATATCACACTGAGCATGAACTCTTCGTCGATGCTTTCTTTAAGCATCGATGGTACAGTGGGAATCACAAACGTGATGGTCCCTCAATGCTTCAAGCGTGGAACGCTTACATCCATAATCTTGAGGATGTAGGTCGTGACGTTTGGAACGACAAACTGTTCAAGGCTCGTGATAAGTTTGAGAAAAGAACCCCGATAGGTGCACGCTACAAGCTGCATCGTCTGTCAAGGGAGAAAGGATTACCCTGTCTTTCCTGAGGGGACCCGTTCCCTTGTTGTGTAAACAACTCAGCGCGCGCACCTAAGGAGGCTTATCTCCTTACTAGCCCGTGGTTGCGCGTACGTATCTCTACTGAGATGTACGAAGGGTTTGACAACCTAAATATCCTTTATGACCGTGCCGGGAATACTTTCTATAGCAGTCCTTCTGTGGCACAGGATGTGCCGCGTCGTACTGCTCAACCAGACCCAGTACGTCAACCATCAATTGGGAGCGGGGCTCCCAAGTATCCCAGGACGAGGGATAGCCGCGCCACCGGACGAGATAACTCGTCCGACGTCCGTTCACGTCGCGGTGGTTCAACAGCTGCTCAACCAGATAGCGCTGGCCACCGCGAGAGTCCTCTAATGGAGGTGGAGGAGGAGGAAAGACGCTCTCCACACACTCGTGAGGATGCGTGTGTTCCCGAAAGCTTCTCTGATCGCGTAAATCTTGCGTTACGCGGCGATCTCGAACACGAGCGGGACAGGCGTCTTCAACTGGCGGACACTGTCTTGAAGCATCGAGCTGAGTTTGCCTTTGCTCAGCTCGAGAACGAGAGAGCTCTGAAATCTCTTCGTGACGAGCTAAGGGTAGCTCGTGGGGATATTGACTGGTCTCGGGATGAGATAACTGCTCTTCAGACCCTTGTCGATGCCCACCATCGGGAGCACAAGGCTCTCTGCGAGATGCTTGAGCGCAAGGGCGTTCTTCATCGGAAGAAGCAGCGTACTGATGGTACGGCTTAAGCCGACCAACGTAAAACGTGGGATGCGTTCGCATCTTACGTGGCAACTCGATCGTGTATGCATTGCCTAGGCGGTGCAATACACGAAATGGGCCGATACACTTGGGTAGTAGTTTACTGCTACCCAAGTTAGACACTACATGCTTTGGTAGATTAACCGTAGACAGTAGGACTAAGTCACCTTTATTAAATATAAGAGTGTTTGCCCTTCCATTCTTGTCAGCGTTTTGCTTTTGCTTATCCACCGCTTCGGCGATGGAGTCTTGCACAAAACGGACTACCTTGTCACGAGCCAGTATGAACTCATCTGATGACTCGTTAGCTTCAGTGCGCTGTGAGTGCACTGCAGCAACATCAATCTTTTCTCCAGTGAGGGCTTTCGCGCTCTCACTGGCATCATCTTCTTCGATATCGATGTTGTCGATATCGGCATCAAACGCAATGACCTCTTCGTCAGAGCGTGATGAGCGTGAACCAAATCGGTTTTTGCTCGCGCGAGTCCCTCACCCCCTCAAACCAGAGTTACACTCTAGTAAGGTGGGTACACGCGGATGGCGCAAGCCATTCACGTAAAATGGTGTATGTGTCGTGGACGCATGCACCGAGTTGTTAGTGGCAAACTCTACCATTGGTAAAAACTCACTATAACTCTCAAAGGTGTGTACGTATCTTCGAAGTATCTCTTCAAGGACACGATTGGCACGTTCCGTCTGACCATCTGACTCTGGATGATCAGATGTTGACATCTTCAAGCGCGTTCCGAGTGATTTGAACACGGAACGCCAGAAATCAGCAGTGAATCGTGGATCTCTGTCTGATACGAGTTCACGGGGCAACCCATGAAGTCGGAAGATGGTGTCGATAAAGACACAAGGACAGCCACTTGCTGTAATTGACTCTGGTACAGCCACTAGGTGTACCATTTTGCTGAATCTGTCAACAATTCAAGAATACCCGTATTCCCGCGTGCGTCTTTGGGTAACCCGAAGACGAAATCATTGAGATGGATTCCCAGCACTCAGCCGGAACCGGTAGAGGCTGTAAAGGTGCACGCAGTGAAGGGCTTGACTTCACTCGTTGACAGACTTCGCATGCGCGAACATACTTTCGCACAAAATGATACTGGCAGGGCCAGTAAAAGTCTCGACTCACCGTGAGATATGTTTTCTCCCGGCCACGATGTCCTCCTATAGGAGCATCGTGATACTCGAACATGATCCGCAAACGCAGATCAGTATCATCTGGAATGACAACACGTGGTGTGTCACCAGAAACGGCTGTATAAAACAGTAACCCGTTGCGAGTAGTGTATCGATCAGATGCAGATCGATACGCGGACGATAATCGTTTCAACGATTCTCAAGATGGTTGTGAGAGATGTGTCAACAACTTCACAATCTCACCATCTTGGGCGTATGCCCGCCTCACATCATCATACAACGTTGTAGATGGGACTGAGGACGTCATAACCGCAACAGTGACTGTCTCACTGTCGGGTTTCGCGACTGTTTCAAAGTCAGGACGACGTGAGAGTGCATCAGCGACGACATTGAGTCGTCCTGGTTTGTACTCGACCGTAAAGTTGTACTCTGCAAAGAATGACAACCACCGCGCCATTCGTTGTGAAAGGTGCGGGCTGTTCACTGCCGTGCGTAATGACGCATGGTCAGTGTAAACAATGAAGGGTCTATCTCCTAATAGATAGACTCTGAACTTCGCGAGTGCATAGTTCATGGCAAGGAGTTCCTTGTCATGCACTGGATAGTTCCGCTCAGCTGGTTGCAGCTGACGCGACTGATAGCAGACGACGCGTTCAACGCCTTCAAGATCGTACTGCATTAATGCACAGCCGATTGCGAAATCGCTGGCATCACAGACCACATGAAATGGCCTGTCCTGATCGTCAATTGCTAGGACTGGGGATCGTATCAAGCTCTGCTTGATACCATCTAAGGAGCGCTGACATTCAGCGTTCCATAACTACCTCTCGTTCCTTTTTCAACAAACGAGAGAGGTGTACAGTCATCTCGGCGTAATTGCGTGAATACTTATGCAAATACGCCGCTAGCCCAAGGAATTTTCGAAGACCTTTGACATCAACCGGCACAGGCTAGTCGGTGATCGCCTTGATCTTTTCGGGATCAGGACGTACACCGTTCTTACCAACGATGCACCCAAGAAGTGGTATTTCGCTTGCTGCAAATATGCACTTCTTGAGGTTTGCATACAATTGATGCTTTCGCATGATTGTAAGAACCTGTCGGACGTGGTACCTGTGAACCTCAACATCCGACTTTCCATCCATAGCCCGACTATGGATGAATACGTCATCGAAATAACCCGGCGCGAATTCTCGTACTGGTCTCAACAGATGTGTATCACATCTGTTGAACGTGGCAGGGGCATTACTAAGCCCTTGTGGCATTACTAGCCATTCCCAGAGCATGCCGCTAGGCGTGCTAACTGCGGTATAGGGTATATCCCGTTCTCGCACAAGGATTTGATAGAAGCCATCCATCAAATCCATGGACGAAAAGATGGTACTCTTTGACATACCATCAATGATTACGTCCTTCCTCGGTATCGGCGACTGAGCCGGTACCGTTGCAGCATTCAACTTGTTAAGTGCATGCACTATCCGCCACCCTCCTGTTGCTTTTCGCACACAGAAGGTAGGAGAGCTATGTGGGGAAGTTGATTCCCTCACATGGCCCGCAGCTAAACGATCGGCAAAGAACTTGTCGATTGCAAGTACTTGTTCACGAGGCAGTGGCCACTGCTTCATGACACAGTACTTCGAGCCAGGTTTAAGCTCGACCTCGTGTCGAATACCTTTATCCTTCGGTAATTCGCACGGAACAGTTTCAGGGAATACATCCTTGAATTCAACCAAATCTTCATAGAGAGGATTTGTCTTGAGCGATTCCCACGATTGGGAGTCATATCGCTCAATTCGTGTCTTTACATCGAGGACACTCTCGTCGATGAACTACTGAGAACTCTCTCGTTCTCAGTGAACACTGTTGCTGACCTTATGTCGGCTACACACTCGTCGTCAGCGACGAGTACGCAGATCTGCTTGACTTTGCCACTACGCAGATCACGCAAGAACCTTTTATGTTCGAGCGTTGGCAACTGAGTGATCTCCGAAGTCTACTTCGGAGGCGCAATCAGATCAAGTGTATAAGCGCCTACACTTGATCCGTTATTGACTATGACATTCAACCTCTCTGTCATTTTCTGGGGACTTATTCCCTCAGGCCTCGAAGGACTTATTCCTTCGGCTTCCCGGGGACTTATTCCCGCGGGTTTCGGGGAACTTATTTCCGCCGTATCTGTAATATCTGGACTTATCCCCTTAACTTCCTCTAGCTGGGGTTGCGCAACCACAGCGAGATCCTCTACGATAGACTCTCCAGTCAATCTAGGATTATCGTTTCGCTTAACCTGAGCGATCGATTGTTTCTCTTCTAGATGTTCCCCGCTGGGGATACATCTTTGTCCCAGTCCACTCGACTTATTCGAGTGGTGGACCTTCGGCGCAGCCTGTGTTTCCTCACAGCCGCCGGAACTTTGCTCCGAAGTGTAAATGTTTGGTACACTAAGGTTTTGTGCAGTCGTACTAACGACCGTACCACAAGTGAGGCCATCGAACTCACTCGTAGTACATCCACACGCTTGTAGACGCTCCAAAACGTTCATCAGGTGGCCATCTGATGAACAAGCGGCAGGCATCGTTACTGTTCGATGTTAGCAGTTTACCTGTGGTTCGTACCTTCTGAGCCACGGTATTCCAAGGATGACATCAAATTTGTCATCCAAATCCAATACGATAAAGTCATCGTCATATTGGGTATCTTCTAGCGTATAGTGAATCTTCACTAAAAGCTTTATGACGGTTACGGATGCGCCTGTCGCAAGACGTACCGTCATCCTCGCAGGAGGTGTGTCACATTCACTGAATTTAAAGTGACCATCTTCTAGCGATTGGCGTCGCACAAAATTGTTGGACGCCCCACAATCGACTAGAGCTCGAAGGGACAACTTATTTGTCACTTCGAGTTTCAAGGTAATGAGTGAGACCTCATTACCTAGAGCAGCAACGCACAATGTCTGTGTGTTGGGAGCAACCTTCATCAAGAGGCCTACAAATTCTCTTGACGTTGCTGGATCAGTAGGGTGCTCCGCACCTACTGATCCTGACCGTTTTTTGACGGTCCATCCCGTTGTTGCGTCTTTGCACCAACAGCGGACCCGCTTCCCTGCCCCTTTCTCAGGGTTGGACGGTCATTACGCCCAGTGTTGCGAGACACTGGACGAGGGGCACTACACTCGTAAGCGTAGTGTCCTGTCTTTTGACATCTGTTGCATCTCTGCAACTTCTTGTAGTCTGTAGAGCGAGCCTTCTCGCTCTCTACATAACAGAGTTCCATCGGCTCTGGACCTTTGCTGTCATATCGTCTCGGTTGACGATGTGATGTCGAGCTGGCGCGAGCCTGTCTCAGACTGAAGTCTTCCTGTTCCGCAATGGAAATGGCTTGCTCTAGTGAATCTAGTTCAAGCCGGAACAGGTGAGTCTTGACGGGACCATCCGCAAGACCCTGAATGAACACCGAAACTAACGTGTGTTCATCCACCGGATTGGAACTTATACAACTCGTGAGATGTCGTATATGTTGCGCGTAAGCGTTCACATCACGCTTACCCTGTTTGAGCTTCAAGAGTTCGGTTCGAGCTCTGAACTCAGCTCTAGGCGGTTCAAACGTTTGTCTGAGCCGCGACTTGAAGACTTCTAACGACCCGAACGCATATGGGTCGTGCAACTTGAGCCCCAGTGCCCAAGTCTTGGCACGTCCTGCCAGATTTGACTGGGCAAATTCAACTTTCATATCCCCGTCGTCGATGCGACGCGCCCTTATGGCGTCGTCTAATTCGACAAACCATCTCAAGAGGGAGTCCTCTTTGACTCCCCTATACTTGGAGATTTCAATCTTCAAAGTCTCGGGTCGACGTGAGTGCATCGACCCACCAGCAGCATCCTGCTGCTGTATCAACAGTCCAAACTGTTGAGCACCCTGTTCTCTCAACAACTCTGATTGTTGAGAACCTTGTTGGTGAAGCAAGGTTACTTTCTCGCGTTCGGCGTCAAGTCCATTTTGAATGAACTTGGCGATTGTAGCATGTTGGGCATCTCTATTGAGAGCCTCTAGCATGACGCTAACAGCATGGATGCCCATGGTTGAACCCATCCGTTCAACCGCATCCCATTCGACATCTCTCAAATTGCAGCAGCCGTCACGCGTATCGTGAAAGCTTTAGTCATCTCCATCGTCTATCATATTCATGTTAGATGTGAACGTGGTCCTTGGACGGACTACGAAGTGCTACCAGGTGTAACGGGGCACCCTGAAGCTTGTACTGGTGACAGTACAAGCTACTTATTCTGATGACAGAATAAGGCGGTGCCTCGTAACTTCACGTATACTGGTACGTGCAGAGGAAGACGGTAAGGAGAAGCGAGTACTTGGTTAAAGTAAAAAGTAGAGCTGTATTTAGTATAGTAAACGTCTGTTAATAAACTACTATTTATCCTCATGTAACTATGTCTAAGTACAAATGTGTATATCAGCTATCTGCTCACCACTCATTGCGTGCGTCTGTCGTGGCGCGTCTTCGTTGGTTGATATAATGGCCTATATCAACCAATTAGGAACTACTCGTAAGTGCTACAGAATATTTGTCCTTATGACAATATTCTGAGAATATAACTCTTATAGCTGTTTTCTATTAACAATTTCTTATAAATTGTTATGTAACGGTTCACCCCTTTCCAGTATGAATATGTACGCATGAACAAGCGCAGTATGCCTTTCTACAAGATTACTGCAGCCTATTATCCACTGTATAATTATAGACTTTATCAGCGGATGTTTAATTAATGTGTTTTGTCTCTCTTTTTTTGGGAGCTCATTGCCTGCCGGCAAGCGCCTAACAGGGAATGCAATCTAAAAATTAGCATGAGGGTACATATACCAGATTTAGGATGGCAATATTCAAATCAGATTGGGAATGCTAAATTAATATCAATGCTTGTTTTTGATTGGCCAATACAAACTGACTGTTGAACGACCCACTCGCGACTGGTACTTTAATCGCTCCTGAAGAATAAGATAAATGGTGTAATCACCACACCTTTTAGCTAAATCCACCACATAATCGTACACCACCTTTGAGTTTACTATATGATCGATTCTTTATGTGATTAAATCTCCGGCTTTATACGCGCTATACAACCCAAAAAGTGTGACATCCAACACCCGTGTTGTTCTGGACTATAATGATGTTTTCAAGTACACTTAATAGGCAGAAGTGCACTGTCTGGGGAAAGTTCTAATGCGCGCCGTTGATCACTTTACACATGCAGCAAAATCATTTACGCACCCTTTGCTACCATAAATCACGTTAAATATATTGTTGCATGGCCCTCGTCGGTCAATACCACGACAGGTCACTCATAAACTGTAGCTGCCAGGATTGCGCAGACTTGACTAGTCGTCCAGTTGGCTTGCGGCGCAAGCTTACCTTTTTTGTCACCTAAGTCGCGCTCAACTGCAGCCACATCAATAGCAAGAATACTTTACCAATATTAACATTGTTTACCTAAAGTTTCAATACGATCTGCACCACCTATCGCTTTTAAAAACAATGTGGTATGTGGTGGGGTGTACAATAATGGAGTGGATTTGGTAAAAAGGTGTGGTGGATTTAACAATTCCCAAAGATACACCTCCTCAATACCGCAACATCAGATATTCCACTCGACAGCGCACTATTGGTTTGTATCGCCTGACGTTGTCGAAATGCCCACTCAAATATGACGCGTCCAGCGTCACGATGTCAGCGGAACAAGTATATATCCATAACGCCCTATGTTTAAATTGATCTGCACTACGTTGATCGAAACGTAGGTGCTCCTAAAATCGATCGTATAAAGTCCATAGCAAACATTCAGAAAAGCACATGTGCTAGTCAATCAGTATGCTCTTGCTCGCACTGCACCTGAATATGGTACTCCTTCAGCTGTTCAGGCTGCACGGGACCTGGCGCATTCGTCATCAGCTCGTTACCCGAAGAAGACTTTGGGAACGCGATTACATCACGCAAACTCGGGGCTCCGCACAACATTGCAATGAGGCGGTCTAGACCCAGCGCAATACCGCCATGAGGTGGAGCCCCGTGACTAAGGGCTTGTAATAGGTGATCGAAGCTCTGACGTTGCTGGGTTGGCAGCTCGAGCACATCTTCAAAGACAGCTTGCTGCAGCTTTGCCTGGTGAATCCGAATCGATCCTCCACCCAGCTCCCAGCCGTTGCATACAATATCGTAGTGCTGGGCAGTGATACTCAATAGCTGCTCAACGATCAAAGGATCTTCCAGTAAACTTCTCGTCTCCTTTTCTTCAGCAGCACGAACCAATAGTTCATCCAAAAGTACTGCGTGGTCGGGATGAGGGGCAGTGAAGGGGTGGTGTGTTGCAGACAGCGAGACCCTGCCTTCACTTTCAATAGAACTTCCATTTTCCTTATCATCCTCAGTGCGCCCAAACATGGGGAAATCGATAACCCATAGGTGATGGAAGTTGTTTAGGTCCAGCTCTGCTTGCAAGAAACCCATGGCGTACAACAGTCGAGAGACGTACGTACGCAACCGTCCAAGCAGAGTAGTGACATCGTGGTACGGACCGGCAGCGAAGATGAGGAGATCGCCTTCCTTAGCGTCAAGACGCTCGTTAAGCTGATCAATCTCGGAGGTAGACAAGTGTTTTGCCAGCGAGGCTTTCCATTGCTTGTCAGACCCCACCTTGACGACAAATGCACTGGCAACGCTCGATGTGCGCTTAGCTACTTTCTCCAGCTCATCAATGTCCTTGCGCGAGAATCCAGTACTTAAGAGGAGTTTCGCATTGATAGCACGAACGACTCCGCGTTTGCTATCAATCTTGACATGGCGATCGGCTAATGCCGTCTTTAACGGACCAAACTCGCATCCTTGCAACAGGTCGTCCACATCCTGAAGCTCAATGCCGTACCGCGTATCAGGCTTATCCACACCAAAGCGGTGCATGGCCTCGTCATAAGTCATGCGAGCAAATGGACGATCCGGTAGCTCCTTGTTCGCAGACTTCCATATCTCCTTCACAAGTCGCTCGATTAAGTGCATGACATCCTCGCGCGTGACAAAGGACATCTCGAGATCGATCTGTGTGAACTCTGGCTGACGATCCGCGCGACCGCCTTCGTCTCGATAGCACCTCGCCAACTGGAAGTATCGATCTAAACCACCAACCATAAGCAACTGCTTGTACTGTTGTGGACTCTGCGTCAAAGCGTAAAACAGTCCTTGATTCCGTGTCGGCACGAGAAACTCTCGAGCGCCTTCCGGGGTACTTTTAAACAGCGTCGGCGTCTCAATTTCCAGAAAACCCTCCGCGCACAAGAAGTTGCGTGCAGCGAGCGATATCTTTGAGCGTAGAATGAGGTTTTGCTGCAACGCTGGCCGACGAAGATCTAAGTATCGATGCCGCAGCCGTGCGTCTTCATTCGCCCCGGCAGATCCCGTCGCCACTTGAATAGGTAAGTTCGCACACGAATTCAGCTCGGTCATCTTGTCGACAACGACCTCGATAGCTCCAGTAGCTATGTTCTTGTTGCGCATACCCATTGGCCGAGCTCGTACAATGCCTGACACTTGCAGTACTGACTCGGGTCGGATCCTACGCACAACATTCTCTGTAATGTATCGATCGATGTACATGTCCACATTTGCATATCCACATACAATAAGTCAGGAGCTCTTTAAACCTTTTTTAGTGCTTTTTTGTAAACACTTGGGACAAACTACGAACCTGCTGATTGGAGGAAATCTTTTTCCAGAACAAGTTGCGTCACACCGTACCGGTCACGAAGTGACACAAACGAGACGGGACCGAATGGACGCAGCGCGTCCACCCATCCACTTAGCGTCACGCTTTGTCCTTCATGAGGCGATTGACGAAGTTCTCCACACGAATGCGTGCGGAATGAGCTCAAAGAGCGGCAGTAGACTAAATAACGCGTCGAAATAGCACGATGCCATCTGCATATTACATTCACATATTGACAGGCAGACAGACGACATACAGACGATGTTTAATCTCATCAGTCCATTTTAAACACAAACATTTCGCGTGACGAACCTCCTCGTGAGCATGATGTTTGCAATATTGAATGTCACCTCCCTCGAATGGTTTTTAATGTGGTACACATTATCACAATGCTAGTGTACCCATGTCGATATCCCAGCCAAACCAGCCATTTTGGCGTTCTGCATCAATTAAGAACGATGGGTCTACCGTCTGTCTTGATCGCATCTGCGCACGAGATCGTCGTTACTGTGCGCAATACGACGGTGTTCGTCCTTCCTTCAAGCGCTTCGTCAACGCCAAAAAGAATGCTGCAGTTTGTGGTATTGCAGAGCGCAGACGGTGCAGAGGAAGCGTCAGCAGTTGCTCACAAAGACGACGCCGATGACGAGGTCGAGAAGTCGCAGCCATTAGATCCCAAACTCAAGCGCCGAGTTACGGCCGTGGAAGTTTTTCGACCGTTCAATTCGGACCTATTTGCACTACTACTGCTAGTAGATGAGCGACGGCTGATGCATTACGAGCTGGACTTGTCACATGAGACGCTCGTGCTCAAGACGTCCCGCCTCGTGCCTCGAAACGCCACGTGCATGACTGTAAGTCATCTCAAGCTGGAAAATCAACAGATGAAGTACGCAGTCATCTTAGGCCAAAAAACAGGCGAGGCTGTGGCTGTGCCTTTTCCGGACGTAGACCGAGACCTCCGGATGCTGCTGGGCCACACGACGTCGATGATCACCCACGTAGCTGTAAATCACGACTCGTCACTGCTACTGACGGCTGATCGGGATGAAAAGCTGCGCGTGTCGAGGTTCCCGAATGCTGCTATTATTGAGAGCTACTGCCTGGGCCATAAGGCTAGTCTCACCAAGGTGGCCTGTAGTGCAGTCACGCCGGACCTCGTCGTGTCGACGTCCATGGACAATACGATAAAGTTATGGAACATGGGAATAGGAAAGTTGCTGGCATCTGAGACGCTGCTTCCAGGCTTGGAAGTGTCCGTTAAACCTCTTGATAAGGTTGCCGATGAGGATGACGATGGTCACAAAGCAGCCACCAGTTTGCTGAATGTGTCGCTAGCGATTTGTCCCAAGACGAACGTTGTGGCTGTGCTTGTGAACTTTCGACACGTGCGATTCTTCGGAATCGTGGCGCACGCCCTTGAAGAGGTGACTGTTCCTGATGAGGACCTACAGGGGCTGCGGATACACGAACCTTGTGACCTATTGTTCACTGACAACGGAATGCTCGTGGTGTCGTACAAGAAGGACCCGTTTTTGCAGTTGTTCTCCATGTCAAATGATAAGCGACTCATACTTGCTGAGTTCGCACCTGATGTGTTTAAAGACTTTCGAACCACCGCTGCTGCAATTGGTACGTCTTTGCAATAGTTGAAGGTTGTTATAGGTGTCGAGTCGCTCTTTGCTCACGCATTTATTTTTACAGTGCTGCGCGATAACGAGGGGAACAGTCTAGACGTGCTTGACAATGGCATGATTAAGAAGAAAGCGCGCACAAGCGAGTGGAACAAGACGGCGTCCGGGCAGAAGTGATCAATCCATTCTGAGCTCAGTCTGTATGGTTGTCTGTACTGTGCAATTGTCGCTGTAGCTGGCTGAGTTCAGCAGCCTTCCTGTTGGCACAGTTCAGTTTTCTCGACAAGCTTTCATCGGTTTATCCCACATCTGGTAACGCGATGGTTAAGTGCACAGACGTACTCCAACGTCTCATTTGCTACGTCCAGGACAAAACCAAGAAAGCGCGGTCGATGATGGCCGCATCAACTATCAGTTTGACGTTCCGAACTATTGTGTGTGATGTAATAGACCCAGAAAAATTCAGCGTCGCATGCTTGGGCTTCTTGTTCAGTTCAGTGTGCACTGCGAGAACTACAGCACCGTGAGTCGCGAAGACAGCTGTTGATCGCTACTTTGACGTATCGAGTTTCCAGATTGTTGTCTGTTCACAAGGCAATGCTGATCGATAGCTGTGATTGTAATGTCCATCTTCTGTAGAATGCAACGAACACATCATCGAGGACGGTTCTTGACACCTTCAGATGTTGATTAGGTTCCAGACTATGCGTATCGTGCGTGTCACTGTAGCAAGATCAAAATGGTCGCTCTGTGCGGTTACTAGCGATCCAGGTGGTCCGCACGATTTTACGATGCAAACTTAGTTGCGAATGTACCCTCCTCAATGCGTAAGGTTCGAATAGTGCGAAGAGGTAGAGTCAGAGATCATCATTTGCGTTCACTTAAAAGCTGTTGTGGTGATGTTTTTTATGCTGAGAGCTAGTGTGCCATTGCGCAACAGAGACGCCTCTCATCGAAAGCTGCACTACTGTCCGTGCGGAACAAATCAGTATATAAGCTGCTTGTGCTTTTCGCAATGAAAATTCAGGTGTGGGATTAATTCTTCCATGAAGTTCTAATCCCAAATGATGAACGTTTCAAACAGCTCTGGCTGAAATGGTCGGGACATTATACCTTGTTACAATGCCGTCCACAAACGAATCTGACTCCACCTCAAATTCGATTTACAAATAGTTGATAGCTCAATTATTAACTGCGGCTCAATTACTACATCGTCTACCTGTGGACGACGTAGCGAATGAACCACCGCAGAAGAGGGTCTCACAGCATCAACAAACGTCTTGTTTATTTGTACTATTCGATATCGTGCAGTGTAAACGACCCGATTCATGTAAGCTGCACTGTGACAACTTAGATATTTACAACTTGCTACACGACCGTCGCCGTACTTGAAAACTCAGCTGCACCAAAGCTTTCATTTTGGTTCTTAAAATGGTACGCATCAGTGTTTACGATTTTGGGAACCGGCATTGCCCTCCCACATGCTGCTTACACAGATAAATGACCTTACTGCTAGCTCGTAAAGGCTGCGCCGGAACTGAGCTTAGTAAGCCTCTCATAGCTCCACGGTAAACAGGGCATGCGGGTAAACTGATGGCCGGCTTCCTTCGAATGGCACCCAAATCTTAGCAACATCAGGTAATGTCGCACCGGATGTCACCGCAAATAGCACGCTTGCTGCAAGCGGTAACACATGGCTCCAAGTTACAATAGTGGGCTTAGCAGTAGCTTCCAGCCAGCTGCGCAATGGTCACAGCTGATCGATGAACATTGTCGGCAGCCGTCGTGGCCCTTCATCTTACACGATTTGCTGCAGCTACACATGACAGCATTCATCTCCACCAGAAGGCAAGTGAATGAGCCGAAGGCGAGCATATCTCAAGTACAAAAGCTTTCGGTGCATTTCGACCATGAAGTATGTAGAACTCCAACACTCTAAACTCACTTTTTGCATCTACATTACCACATCTGTTGCCAATGCCATGGACTTAGTATAAGCCTCTGCTTTGAGCGATTTCATACAGGCGCGTTCTTGCCATCGCTTGCCACCATCATGGGTGACGCAGAACCCAAGGCTCACGACGCTGATCGTGCATCTCTACCGAGCGCTTTTTCCTCCTCCACGGGAGATACAAAGACCGCCATGCTTGGCAGTCTTGTCGCACGCTGGAAATCCACGCCGTCGCATCCGCAAGCTCATTATGTGCTTTCCGTTCAAGTCGATACATTTGCATGTAGTCCCCCTCTTCCAATGCTTACTGGTGAGGATTAAGCGTTGAATTTCGGTCGTACTTGTATGAATATGTCTAAACTCGTGGCTGCCCGGCAATTGCCCAACCAAAGCTGGGCCAATGTGCTGCAGCCGAATGTTTTCGAAAGCATATCCATGACCAGAAGGAGCGCGTCATCTCATATCTCAGCTAGCTTTGCTCAGGAATCAGATGTGATACACGGCCATTGTGATGGCACTTGTAGCCTCCAAGCTGGACTCCTTACTTTTACTACGTTCGTCGTTGGGCGGTTTACCATTTCCACAATTATACGTTAAATAAAGCGGACGCCAACAAAGTGCGGACCTGCTGCTAAGATGTCAGGCGAGTGACAAGACATCGAGTTGATAAGTACAAGTATTTTTCTCTCTATCTGTGAGCCTGCTAGTCTCAGGGGTTGAGCATGCACAAACAGATAACTCGGAGTACCAGACGGCCGCTCGAGTTTTCTGTACGAACGACGCCAAATTGTTTGTCCACATGAGTTGCACAGACTGATCTCTAAACTAACTCAGCTACAGAAAGGCTTACTATGTCGTTCCATCGCTCGTGCCCTAATCAAGAGCTGTGGCCGACACACCAACCCAATTTCTCGCTTTGGAATCTATAGGAGATTCTTTAAACAATCGTCGGATGTGGTACAACACTTGATGCCAAGCTTTGGTGAATGGTACGAGGGCAGATTAACGACCTGGATCGTCCACATGAGTCCACTACGGAAGTATACAGCGGCCTGTTACCTATTTCTTGCAGGACGCTACACATAGACACATTGACCATTTTTAACCCCACCTTGACCTCTGGGCTCAATAATAGATGGAGGTCCAACCAGCATCAATACATAACCGCAAGGCCCATTGTCATACCTGGACACTACAATTACTTGACGTTTATCAGCATAGGCACTACATTCTGTTCGTCGAGACGACTCGAACCGACGTGTGCGGCCGCCAAGTACATAGACAGCAAGTTGATTACAAATGATCTGCTCTATAAACCCACTGCACAGAGTACAACATATAACATTCACGGACGACGGCAGGTCTTCGAATGGCAGTTTTTCAGAGACTCGCAATAACAACGTTATGATTGTGGGCCCAAATGTATAGACCGTACCGAGTCTGGAGCTATGATGCTGAGTAATAAACATTTTAGAGCTTCAACGATGAAGCAAGACCGATTTCTCTTCTTCTGACATATGTGCGAGCCCTCAAACGAGTTTATGATCATTGATCTCAATAAACTTGTTGGTATCCGACGTCTCTAAGCATGACTTACACTCTCACTTACAGTACACGTCACCCCGTATCTTGCTTCATTTGTGAGCTGAGTTCTCATGATATAATAGGTTTTGCATCCCTGCGTTGAGAAAGGATGTAATATGACAGGCATTCATGAGTCGTTAGTTTACTAATGCGACAATCTCATTTTTTTATCAAAACTGCACCATGGTGTTATATTGTTGAACCCATCATCACACAATGGCATAAGATGCCATTCTCTTCTATATAAACAACGAATGTACGCTATAGTGGAATAGTATCCAGCCTTTTTAAGTCGAACAGTGTGCACTTAAGATGTGACAAAATTTACAGTACAGCATCTCACCATCGTATTGTCGTCGGTGTATTTTGCACGCAAATCATCGCTTGTGCGGACAGCAGACACATCCGTACTGTACCGCATGCAATCCGAAAGGCATAATATTCCTGCATCTCGTTAGTACAATACGATCTGGTGAATCAGACAACATTTGACTTGACAGCTGCAATGTCATACATACAAGGAACTAAAATCAACGAACCTGTCTCTTAACGTTTCAGCGATAGCGATTAACCGGCCATCGAATATCCATCAGGAAACCGGCCCACTTCCAACAGCTCTCCCGCGTACAATTTTCATTGCTCACTCCAATACATTGTCCACTTCCTTTGCTCTCTTTTATGGAATATTGATTGGGGCCTCCGCCGACTTCGTTGCATGGTCGCTACGTTGGGAGTTATTAGAAATAACTAAAAAAGAGCAGTGTACCTATTCACTTCAATAGTTTTTAGAGTTTACTCGTTTTTAAAGTATGGAGCAAACACAATCATAATTGACACGATGCTTAATTAATGAGTAAATTACCAAAAGGGAGAGTCAAGAGCGAATCGTGTGCTGTGTGCGTTGCAGCAATTCCGGTTTTATGGTCCCTTTGAACTGTCTGAACGCCCCTGTAACTTTTTCGAGATATAGTGAGAGCAAGCAGGCATCCAATAGGTGTCAATCGCTTCGATCCTTGTGACTCTTTCTGCATCTTGTGAAGCACTTCCAAATAGTTCACTGATTTTCTCTTCCTTTTCTGCTCTTCAAGCCCGTGTGAGCGTTTTGTCGCAAGTCAGCCCCAGCTGAGCACTCGTCCTATCTGATGTGATCGAAAATCTGCGATGAAGACATAATGATCCAGATGCGCACCTGTTCGAGCTTGGCTCCGTGTTTTTGATCAAACACGATCTCCAACTCTGAATTTTTTTCGAGTCGTCTTCATTACAACCCACCTCTATCGTCTTGAGGTCCAGAAGGCTATTGGCAAACTAGCGTGCTAACAATAAATAAATGTGATAGTCGCCAAATGTTTGTTTCAGAGATCAACTAACCTGGGCGCATTTGTTAGGCGGTCGACTTCGTACATGTTGCTTACCCTCTAGCGCTCGTCACAATCCATCTTAGTCCACAGATGGTAATATTTGTATCGCTCCTGAAATGCTGCGATGATGCCGATGCTTACTACGTTGTTCTGGCAAGGAATTCGTGAATGAAACTAAACGGTGATACATGATACAGTGGGGTATGTCTCTCGTAAATAGGAGTGACAAACCTATCCAAGAAGCTAAAGGGAATGTGAATCAAGAGCGGTATGAATAGTTATTCTTGCAACCTGGTTTCTGATCAAATTCAGGAACTTAAAGGTGTTAGAGTGCCTCGTGTATGCTACGGTCCGCTTTTTGACCGATAAATATGCTGCAACATTATTCGGTATCATTCGCAACAATCGTGTGGGTTACCTTCTGTTGAGAATACGCCGCTTCGTGCAGTCGTTTCATGTTGGGTTCATGGTGATGATTTCTGTGTCAGGGTGTTTCATGGTGGTTATTACGGAAGAAGGTTATGGATCGCGGTTACATGATGAGATCACAGGATGTCGTTACATTAAGGCTTAGACTTAGCTAAGGGTAGTGAACTAAGGACATTAAATATATTCACTTCGGCTTTTACATCCAACTACCCCAACAAGTTAACAGCCGCAACTCGGACAGCGGCGTCAAGACCAAGAACGCCTCGCCTCTCACATGATGAGTACCAAGCGCGCCGAAGTCCTCCTAGGAAGTGGAAATTATTTCCATTGGGAGTTCAATATGAGGATGTCGCTCGCCAGAAAAGGACTGCTGGCGCACGTGGAGGTGGTCAAGGCGGAGAGTGAGATAACGGAAGCTTGGTTAGTAAATGACGCAAAGGCTCTCGGCATCATCGCGCAGGGTGTGGAACTACAACACCAGACAAAGATCCGTTCGTCGACGCGTGCTATTCAAGCGTGGGTAACACTTAGGGAGTTCTACAATCGCACTACACTCCACAATCGGGTCACGATGACACGGCGCCTCCACGAATTCAAGATGGATGCTGGAACGGCCATAACAAAGCATTTGGACGCTTTCGACGAGCTCGTTGTCGGTCTTCAGACGCTTGGAGAGCCCGTCGACGAGGCACGGCAGCTAGTAGTGCTGCTGAGCAGCCTTCCAGCCGAAAACGAGCTGATATCGTCGATCATCGAGAACGTCAAGGACATCACGCTCATCGAGGTGAAAGAGAAGCTGTTGAAGGAGTGTGAACGGTTGGAGAAGAAAGACACGACTTCGGAACGAGCATTTAAGGTCAACGCTGGACGTTTCAAGGGCAACAAGAGGAGTGGTCGCAAGTGGAGCGATCAGAAGAAGAACTCTAGTGGTTTCCAAGGCAAGTGTTTCAAGTGCAACAAAGTTGGGCACATGAAGCGGGACTGTCAAGAGGGAACAACAGACGGCGATGCGGTATTTGTTGTGAGCACAGAACGTGTAAACGGATGGTTGATCGACAGCGGCGCGACCGCCCACATGACCCCGCACCGTTCCGATCTGTTCGAGTATGAGAACGTGAATGGTGGCATCGAAGTAACAATCGCTGACGGAAAGAAGCTGCAGGTCACTGGACGTGGTACGGTACGCTTGCTTGGACTGGACGGTAAACGGATTAAGATGGTTGAAGTTCTTCACATACCGGGCCTCGATCGGCGTCTGTTGTCAGTGGGGAAGCTCGCGGATCGTGGACTGAACGTGGGGTTTCAACGTTCCTCATGTGTTATATGGGGAGCGGCTAGCGCAATTGCGAAGGGTAAGAAGATCGGCAAGGCTTACATGTTAGACTGTGAACAAGAAGAAGCTCGGTTCGTCCAGTACGCCGGGGCTGACAGCAAGTGGGAGCTTTGGCACGCTCGCCTGGGGCATCCCAACCAGGATGCTCTGGATAAGACAAGGCATGCCACGAACGGTATTCCGGCTGTTGGTCAACCGCCCCAGTCTTTGTGCGGCGGATGCATGAAGGGGAAGCAAACGGTGGCTAAATTTCCGCATTGTTCCAGCTCGAAGACGTCGCGCGTTCTTGAGCTCGTCCACACGGATATGATGGGACCAATGAATAATCCTTCGAAAGGTGGTGCCAAGTATGTCCTGACGTTCGTGGACGACTACTCGCGCTACGTTGTGGCCTATTTCTTGAAAAAGAAGAGCGAGGTGGCTATTAAGCTTAGAGAGTTCATGACGTTCTATGAGAATCAACGGGGAGAGCGCATGAAGTGTTTACGATCGGATAACGGAACGGAGTTTGTCAACCAAGAGATGACGAAGATATGTATGCTGAACGGTATCGTGCACCAACGGACTGTCCCGTATAGCCCTCAGCAGAATGGAGTGGCAGAACGGATGAACCGAACTATCATGGAGAGATCTCGAAGTATGCTATACTACAAGGGCGTTCCAATGGAGTGGTGGGCTGAAGCAGTTAGTACTGCGGTATATCTAATCAACCGTTCCACGAACACGCACAACGCAACCGTAACACCGTTTTAGCTAGGTTTCAAAGTGAAACCTACGCTAGATCACCTACGCGTATTTGGTTCTCGCGGGTACGCTCACATTGACGAAGCGAAGAGGACGAAGCTTGAACCTAAGAGCTTTAGATGTCTGCTGCTCGGATACCCAGAAAACGTCAATGGTTACCGTGTCTATGACTTGGACGCTTCCAAGGTCAAAGTTTCTCGCTCGGTGAAATTGGACGAGCGTGAGGTAGATGGTATTTACGATACACTACCTGCTCAGATCGAAACAGTTATTCATGTTAGCACAGACGCCGATGATGAAGTCACGCTCGCACCAGTGGAACTTCAACCCGTCGAAGCGGAACCCATGGAAGGCGTTGAGAACGACGCACCGGATGTAGAGATGGAGAGCATGCAACCGATACAGGACGCTATACCGCCGCTGCTGATGCCACAAGAACGGTCAGCTCCCACTGGATTTGAGTTGGAACCGTACTGTGGACCACCGACTATCTTCGAGGACGATCAAGTGGTGTTCCATACCCCTAGAGACCGTTTTAGAAGTTCCCGGGAACCAGTCTTCCTTCTTGAAGAGGGAACAAACGCAGAGGAAGAATGGAAGTCGGAAGGAAGAGATGGACCGTCCTATCCGAAGCGTGCCAGGATCGATGAAGACGGCCTTATTGCTGAAGCCATCCTCACGTACGCAGCAATCATTGACACAGTGGATCTTCCTACAACATACGCTCAGAACTATGTGTGCCAGCTGAACAAGGCCATCTATGGACTGAAGCAAGCTGCAAGTGCCTGGAACAAGACCATTCATCGGGTATTTCTTGGGTACGGATTCAAGAGCTGTGGTGCGGACCAGTGCGTCTATGTCAAGCGTTCCAAGAGCAATTTCATTTACGTCTGTCTTTACGCAGATGATATGATCATTGCGGCGAAGACTAGTGATGAAATTGATGACGTGAAAAACGCACTCAAGAGTGTCTTTAAGATGAAGGAGCTTGGACCGGCGAAATTTATCCTGGGAATGGAGATCGACCATAACATGACTGCTGGAACGCTTATGATTAAGCAAACGCGATACATCGATGATGTGGCGAAACGGTTCGGGCAAGAGAACGCTAAGTCGGTTGACAACCCGTGTGCAACTGGTCTTAAGTTGTCAAAGTCGCAATCGCCAGCAACGGATGAAGAGCGAAGAAAGATGCAATCGAGACCGTACCGCTCCTTAATTGGATGCCTACTGTATATCACGACGTGTACTCGCCCGGACATTTCATTCGTGGTAACGCAACTTTCTCGTTTCCTGGAGAATCCCGGGGCGCAGCATTGGAACGCTGCTATACGTGTTCTACGCTACTTAAAGACGACTCGCCAGCACGGGATCATCTACAGAGGTGGTACTGGCAGCGTCACAGCTGAAGCCTACTCGGATGCGGACTGGGGTTCCAACCTCGACGACAGGCGTTCTGTCTCGGGGGTTATGATCATGATTGGGAACGCTCCGGTGGTGTTCAAATCTAAGTTCCAACGAACGGTTGCCCTCAGCTCAGCGGAAGCTGAGTATATGGCTTTAAGCCTATGCGTTCAGGAAGTGCTATGGACGCGTGCGATACTGACGGACATGGGAATGGTACAAATGAACGCTACCCAGATATGGGAGGACAATCAAGGAGCGATTGCTTTGGCCCAAAACGCTGGTTATCATGCTCGGACCAAGCATGTGGACATCCGTCATCACTTCATCAGAGAGACGATCGAAGACGGGACGGTTGCGGTAGCGTATGTGGACACCAAACATCAATTGGCCGACATACTGACCAAGGCGCTAGGATCCAAGACGTTCAAGTTCCTGCGCGATGCAAACAGTATCCAGTGCAAAGAAACCAAGCAGTAGCGGCGAGTGGGAGTGTTGAGAATACGCCGCTTCGTGCAGTCGTTTCATGTTGGGTTCATGGTGATGATTTCTGTGTCAGGGTGTTTCATGGTGGTTATTACGGAAGAAGGTTATGGATCGCGGTTACATGATGAGATCACAGGATGTCGTTACATTAAGGCTTAGACTTAGCTAAGGGTAGTGAACTAAGGACCTTAAATATATTCACTTCGGCTTTTACATCCAACTACCCCAACACCTTCACCTATATTGCTAAAACCCTGCTTTTTGTACTCAAAACTTATCGCAGGGAGCTCTTCATGTACACGTAGGAATTCCCCTGTCATTCTACTTAAATACTAGCTCAAATCTATATGATTGCCACCAAATAACTTTGTGGACGTATGTGTGCAGGGCTCCTACTGTGTGGGGTTTGTTACGGGAGGGTCTGGCCGCAACAGACCTCGGGGGAAGAGAGAATCCGGTTGCACACAGATAGATTCTACCGTGTCGCAGTCGTCATCATTAGGCATACCTCAATCCTGCTCATTACGCTGTTGATACTACCACCGGGCCAATATCGCAATTGAGGTAACCAAAGCTGCTATCGTTGGCGCATGTGCTACTGCATGGTAAAAATTGAGCCTCATATAATCCACATAAATTTAGCGCTCGATTTTGCGTATCGAAGAGCATGTGAATTGAAATTAGCGATATCATCGGTAGACGTTAGACTTTATCACAGCTTCATTCGTCTGCACACAATAGATGTGACATACGCGGCTGCAACTGTGCTCCTAAATCACAAGTGTACGCGTTGTATTCGTTTCGTTTGTTGTTAAATTTGTGTCTTTATACTAATAGCTCGTAAAACATTTTTTCCATTGATGTGTTCGCAGTTGTATTTTTTTTCATGTGAAAGCGATTACATGGGTGGAGACATCGTTTACGCTGTAAGCGTGCACGCAAGTCCTCCTTGTTAAAAGGCTTGTATTCGCTGTTTTCCCGTGTGTGTAAAAAGCGTGTCGAACGCATTTTGATTCAATGCGATTTTGCAACTAAACTGGACGCAGCAACTCGCAATGGTATGAAGAATATGTAAAGATGTCAAAAGTGGAGCTTTACAAGACAGCTTTGCTTACTAAAAACTCTTAGACGACTTTTGTTTTTTCTGCCGTGTTATGTAAACAATAGCAAAAAGCAGTCGTAAATTACAAATTATGCGAGTGGCCGTATTACGGGCGACCAATGGGGATAGGGGAGCTGTAACAAGAGTGTGTACCCAGCAAGGATGCGATGTTGCACGTCGACTCTCTCTATGATCAATGAATGCACATTGATGTCTACGCAGACATCAAAAGTGTAAGCCGATCAAGTAAAATATGACAAAGAAATCTGGATACGGCTTTTCGACGGGATGAACGATATTGATATTTAGGCGAATAGCAAGTGACATGTTGATAAAGTCCCGTGCATGTCCTTTACGTTGTGCTCTTCAATCCGACCAACTACCTTACGTTCTATTAGTTGACGTGCATTTATATCTCGATTTGAAGCTGGAAACATCGACGCTAGCTTGGTGTTGATGATGGCTATTGAATTAAATGTACGCAAAGTTTGGACCACTCCATCTATGCCTGTTTGGCCACTCCTATCAGGTTTTCTTCGTCGACAATCGTTTTTTACATACGCGAAAATACATCACACATTTATGGGGCTTATAATGCAAACCTCACGACCATGACGAAAGGACGGTAATGTCGAGGGAGACGCGCTCATTTAAGAATTAATCTAATGAACTTTTATCAACAACCATGGAAGCACCCGATCTTATCGACTATATTAGGAGTGTAATCGATGGCATACTCTACACAAACGACTGAGCCAGAATAATCTGACATCAGCCAGCCCTTACAGAAATTCTGGTAAAAATGATGCACGAAATTTACAGAGAGCAGAAAATGAGTAATTAAATCTATTTCTTTGGTGATGACTCCGTTCCGGATCAAAAGTAATTGCTTTCAGGTCAAAGAGGATAGTGGGCTTTAGCATCATAGTGCGAACGAATTTGGATTTGTGAGGTGCTCGGGAAAGAGTCCGCTTCGACTTTGTTCAAATCTATTTTTTTCATTCAAACAATGAAAACTAACGGACTTTGATCATGCAGCAAAGTGTACAGTATGGTAGGAACCTTGCTTTTATCAGCACACGAACTTGTCGTCGCCTATTCGATACTCTACGTGTTCTGCTGCAACATCAGCCGTTTCGGAAGTGAAGCAAAACCTACATGGTTGGCACACAAGCGGACTTCTTCTATTAACTGCAATCTTGAAGAACAACGTAGAGCATTTGGGTCAGTTGTCCTTACTTGATCAGCCAAGCGCCTCGGTAACACCACGAAGCTTCATTTCTTGTGTCATTTATGTCGTAAAACATGTAGTCGCACTTGGGCGCCAAGTCAGAATCAGGCCCTTACATTTGCTTTCTTTGTTCTCAAAATGAGCTACGAGTGCGGCTTGAGCAAAACACGAGTGCATATTGTCGAAAGGCTTCGGTAACTCATTCCCAAAAATTAATGACTAAGAGACTTTTGAGTCACCACTATATGTTTGCAGACTTGATTGCCATATTGCTTGAGTCCCCTCTATGAGCTCGTAGACTTGATTGCCATATTGCTAGACTTTTTAGTCTGAACGTCATGTAGCATGACAACGAGCGGTGTCCGTGTGAGAGCACTGCATTACTCTAACGACTGTTCTTCACGAGAATAGTCCCTACACCTCATACCGATTTCTACAATAGACGACGATATACTGTTGCACGAAAAACTAGACAAAGTTGTCTTTTTTGGCTTCACCATACGCGCTGACATCGGCTGCGTCGTTAGATCGAGTTTTCATCTCCAGGAGCATTTACACCGTTACGGTAAGTTACCATGCAAAGTTCTCTTGAGATTGCCATATCACATCCAGACAAGAAAAAGCAATGCACGCGGAATGGATCGGTCTGACTACTGAGACAACAAAACAAAGTTATTGCTCACAAAAGGTATGAACCTCACTTGTAGCAAAGGGTTCTGAGCTGAAATAAGTCGCCATCATTTCCGACTGTCTGAGATCATCATTTAGGACGTCGCTAATGGCACCACAAGTCCACAGATCGTTGACTAGTGCTGGATTGTCGTGGCTAGCAGGACTATACACCTGGCTGCCAATCAGATAGACTGACATAGCAGCAGCTCGAGTCTCAATCTGTCACTGAAGCTCATGTCGAGCTACTGACACTTCGCTTTTGCTCCCGCTCGTACTCAGTGTAATTTCCATCAAAGAACTCAACACGACCGTCTCCCTTGAATGCAATAATATGGGAGCAAATTCGGTCCAGGAACCATCGGTCGTGGGAGATCACAATGGACACGCCGCTAAAGTCCGTGAGAGCAGTCTCAAGTGAGCGTAGCGTGTCAACGTCAAGGTCATTTGTCGGCTCATCCAGCATCACCACATTGTGGCCACCCAAGAGCATTTTGGCAAGGTGAACACGGTTGCGCTCACCTCCACTTAGGCTGCCAACCTTCTTTTCCTGCATTGCACCACGCAGATTGAAACTTGCAATGTATGCACGTGTGTTGATGCGATCTCCACCAATCTCCACAAACTCATTGTCACCCGAGATCTCCTCATAAACCGACCGTCTGCCGCTCAGTTCGTCGCGGCTCTGACTTACAAAGCCCAAGCTCACTGTCTTGCCTAGCTCAATACTACCCGTGTCTGGTTCTTCCGTACCCGCAATGACATTGAGCAGCGTAGACTTTCCCATTCCGTTTCCTCCAACAATGCCGACAATCGCATGAGGCGGAATCTCAAACGAGAGCTTGTCGAAGAGCACACGGCCATCGTCCAGTGATTTACGCAAATTGTTCACCTTAATCACCTTTTTACCCAGACGAGCACCCGACGGCACGACAATCTGTCCTTCCTCGATTCGTGACGACGATCGAAAGCCACCGGACTCCATTTCTTGCAGTTTCTTCACACGGGCTTTGTTGGCCTTCTTACTTCCCTGGTGATCCCGTGCCCAGGCAATCTCAGATGCAATTTGCTTTGCACGGATGACATCACTCTTTCGTTGCATATTCAAGCGATTACGACGCTGTGTGAGCCACGTGGTGTAATTGCCTTCATACGCGTACGTCTCACCTCTGTCAAGTTCCAAGACCCAGCCAGCGACATTATCCAGAAAGTAGCGATCGTGCGTGATCGACAGCACCGTACCCCGATACTTTTGCAAAAAGTCTTCCAACCAGTGCACCGACTCGGCATCCAAGTGGTTGGTTGGTTCGTCCAGTAGTAACATGTCTGGTTTCTCAAGTAGTAATCGACACAGCGCCACACGTCGTCGTTCACCTCCTGATAGCACATTCACGTCAGTCTCTTTCGATGGCACTTTCAGTGCCGCCATGGCTTTCTCCACTTCATAGCCCAAGTCCCAGCAATTTAACTGCTCGATCTCGTCCTGTAGAGTGGCCTGTTGAGCCAAAAGAGCATCCAGATCCGCATCTGGTTCACCCATGGCCATCGACACATTGTCAAAAGCTGTCAAGAGCTCCTGGCTCTCTTTCAGTCCGTCCATGATGTTTTCATACACATTCTTGCTGTCATCCAGTTGGGGTTCCTGTGGTAAATAGCCCATTTTCACGCCTGTTTTCAGCCACCGATCGCCATCGAAATCGTTCCGGACACCGGCAATAATTTTCAAAAGCGTCGACTTGCCACTGCCATTGGCTCCCAAGATACCGATCTTCGCTCCTTGCAGAAAGCCCAAATTTACGCGTTGAAAGAGTTTTTTGCCTCCTGGAATGGTCATCCCAACGTCACGCAAGTGACACACAAAGTCTCCAGGGACACCCCCGCCGGCATTTTTGGACGATGGCGATGAGGACGATGAGCGGGTGCAAGATGAAAGTAAGTACTTGACAGCAGGACAAGAAAAGCGAGAGGAGGCGAAGGTGACGCGAGTACTGGAGCGAGCCAAAGAGGACCGCGGTAGGTACAGCATTTTTAGGTCGGTTTGTTTGCTGTGCGTGTAATTGTACGACCAGTCGGACAGACTTGGGAATCGAGTGGTCCTCATATTAGCTTTATTTTGGCTTGTTTTGTCCGACTTGATGTGGCTCAGATTTTGGTCGGATATTAGCGGTTAGAAACGCGGTGGTGCTGTGCCTAAAATGTAATTGAGTCATGAAATTGAAGGCTGAGGTTGTCAACTTTCAGAAAAATGCAGTGTGACGACAGAGTCTGAAAATCAAGCGGCTTCAGTATTCGATGAAATTTACGAAGGCTGAAGATGCTATGATGAACATCATCAAATATTTGGTTGAAAGACGACAACTCGTCTGTAGGCATTTTATACCTCGTCGTAAATAGTGTCGATCGTATCTGGGACTTCACGTATGAGCTCGACTACAGTGCATGCAAAATGCAGCAAGTCTCGTATTAGTGTCCATCAGGATAATGTAACGGGGTGAATCGTTACATAACAATTTATAAGAAATTGTTAATAGAATATAACTATAAGAGTTATATTCTCAGAATATTGTCATAAGGACAATATTCTGTAGCACTTCCAAGTAGTTCCTAATTGGTTGATATAGGCCATTATATCAACCAACGAAGACGCGCCACGACAGACGCACGCAATGAGTGGTGAGCAGATAACTGATTTACACATTTGTATTTAGACATAGTTAGATGAAGATATATAGTGATTTATTGCAGACATTAACTATTATAAATACAGTTCTACTTTTTACTCTAACCGAGTACTCGCTTCTTCTTACCGTCTTCCTCTGCACGTACGAGTGTACGTGAAGTTACGAGGCACCGCCTTATTCTGTTATCAGAATAAGTAGCTTGTACTGTCACCAGTACAAGCTTCAGGGTGCCCCGTTACACCTGGTAGCACTTCGTAGTCCGTCCAAGGACCGCGTTCACATCCAACATGAATATGTTGGATGATGAAGATGACCAAAGCTTTCACGCTACGCGTGACGGCTACTCCCATTTGAGCGATGTCGAATGGGATGCGGTTGAACGAATGGGTTCGACCATGGGCATCCATGCTGTTAGCGTCATGCTAGAGGCTCTCAATAGAGATGCCCAACATGTTACTATCGCCAAGTTCATTCAAAATGAACTTGACGCAGAACGCGAGAAAGTAGCCTTGCTTCACCAACAAGGTTCTCAACAAGCAGAGTTGTTGAGAGAACAAGGTGCTCAACAGTTTGAACTGTTGAGACAGCAGCAAGCTGCTGCTGGCGGGTCGATGCACTCGCGTCGACCCGAGACTTTGAAGATTGACATCTCAAAGTATAGGGGGTCGAAGAAGACTCCCTCTTGAGATGGTTCGTCGAATTGGATGACGCCATAAGGGCGCGTCGCATCGACGACGGGGATATGCAAGTTGCATTTGCCCAGTCAAATCTGGCAGGACGTGCCAAGACTTGGGCACTGGGGCTCAAGCTGCACGACCCATATGCGTTTGGGTCGTTGGAAGTTCTTCAAGTCGCGGCTCAGACAAACGTTTGAACCGCCTAGAGCTGAGTTCAGAGCTCGAACCGAACTCTTGAAGCTCAAGCAGGGTAAGCGTGATGTGCACGCTTACGCTCAACATATACGACATCTCACGAGTTGTATAAGTTCCAATCCGGTGGATGAACACACGTTGGTTTCGGTGTTCATGCAGGGTCTTGCGGATGGTCCCGTCAAGACTCACCTGTTCCGGCTTGAACTAGATTCACTAGAACAAGCCATTTCCATTGCGGAGCAGGAAGACTTCAGTCTGAGACAGGCTCGCGCCAGCTCGACATCATATCGTCAACCGAGACGATATGACAACGGAGGTCCAGAGCCGATGGAACTCTGTTATGTAGAGAGCGAGAAGGTTCGCTCTACAGGCTACAAGAAGTTGCAGAGATGCAACAGATGTCAAAAGACAGGACACTACGCTTACGAGTGTAGTGCCCCTCGTCCAGTGTCTCGCGACACTGGGCGTAGTGACCGTCCACCCATGAGAAAGGGGCAGGGACGAGGGTCCGCAGTTGGTGCAAAGACGCAACAACGGGATGGACCGTCAAAAACGGACAGGATCAGTAGGTGCGGAGCACCCTACTGATCCAGCAACGTCAAGAGAATTTGTAGGCCTCTTGATGAAGGTTGCTCCCAACACACAGACATTGTGCGTTGCTGCTCTAGGTAATGAGATCTCACTCATTACCTTGAAACTCGAAGTGACGAATAAGTTGTCCCTTCGAGCTCTAGTCGATTGTGGGGCGTCCAACAATTTTGTGCGACGCCAATCGCTAGAAGATGGTCACTTTAAATTCAGTGAATGTGACACACCTCCTACGAGGATGACGGTACGTCTTGCGACAGGCGCATCCGTAACCAAATATGAAGCGTATAGTGAAGATTCACTATACGCTAGAAGATACCCAATACGACGATGACTTTATCGTATTGGATTTGGATGACAAATTTGATGTCATCCTGGAATACCGTGGCTCAGAAGGTACGAACCACGGGTAAACTGGCAACATCGGACAGTAACGATGCCTGCCGCTTGTTCATCAGATGGCCATCTGATGAACGTTTTGGAGCGTCCACAAGCGTGTGGATGTACTACGAGTGAGTGCGATGGCCTCACTTGTGGTACGGTCGTTAGTACGACTGCACAAAACCTTAGTGTACCAAACGGTTACACTTCGGAGCAAAGTTCCGGCGGCTGTGAGGAAACACAGGCTGCGCCGAAGGTCCACCACTCGAATAAGTCGGGTGGACTGGGACAAAGATGTATCCCTAGAGGGGAACATCTAGAAGAGAAACAATCGATCGCTCAGGTTAAGCGAAACGATAATCCTAGATCGACTGGAGAGTCTTTCGTAGAGGATCTCGCTGTGGTTGCGCAACCCCAGCTAGAGGAAGTAAAGGGAATAAGTCCCAAGATTACAAATACGGCGGAAATAAGTTCCCCGAAACCCGCGGGAATAAGTCCCCGGGAAGACGAAGGAATAAGTCCTTCGAAGCCTGAGGGAATAAGTCCCCAGGAAATGACAGAGACATTGAATGTCATAGTCAATAACGGATCATGTGTAGGCGCTTATACACTTGATCTGATTGCGCCTCCGAAGTTAACTTCGGAGATCACTCAGTTGCCAACGCTCGAACATAAAAGGTTCTTGCGTGATCTGCGTAGTGGCAAAGTCAAGCAGATCTGCATACTCGTCGCTGACGACGAGTGTGTAACCGACATAAGGTCAGCAACAGTGTTTACTGAGAACGAGAGAGTTCTCAGTAGTTCATCTATGGACGAGAGTGTCCTAGATGAAAAGACACGAATTGAGCGATATGAGTCCCAATCATGGGAATCGCTCAAGGAAAACCCTCTCTATGAGGATTTGGTTGAATTCAAGGATGTATTCCCTGAAACTGTTCCGTGCGAATTACCGAAGGATAAAGGTATTCGACACGAAGTCGAGCTTAAACCAGGCTCGAAGTACTGTGTCATGAAGCAGTGGCCACTGCCTCGTGAACAAAGTACTTGCGATCGACAAGTTCTTTGCCGATCGTTTAGCAGCGGGCCATGTGAGGGAATCAACTTCCCCACATAGCTCTCCGACCTTCTGTGTGCGAAAAGCAACAGGAGGGTGGCGGATAGTGCACGCGTTTAACAAATTGAACGCTGCAACGGTACCGGCTCAGACGCCGATACCGAGGAAGGACGTAATCATTGATGGTATGTCAAAGAGTACCATCTTTTTCGTCCATGGATTTGATGGATGGCTTCTATCAAATCCTAATGCGGGAACGGGATATACCCTATACCGCAGTTAGCACGCCTAGCGGCATGCTCTGGGAATGGCTAGTAATGCCACAAGGGCTCAGTAATGCCCCTGCCACGTTCAACAGGTGTGTATCACATCTGTTGAGGCCAGTACGAGAATTCGCGCCGAGTTATTTCGATGACGTATTCATCCATAGTCGAGCTATGGATGGAAAGTCGGACGTTGAGGTTCACAAGTACCACGTCCGACAAGTTCTTACAATCATGCGAAAGCATCAATTGTATGTAAACCTCAAGAAGTGTATATTTGCAGCAAGCGAAATACCACTTCTTGGGTGCATCGTTGGTAAGAACGGTGTACGTCCTGATCCCGAAAAGATCAAGGCGATCACCGACTGGCCCGTGCCGGTCGATGTCAAAGGTCTTCGAAAATTCCTTAGCTAGCGGCGTATTTGCATAAGTATTCACGCAATTACGCCGAGATGACTGTACACCTCTCTCGTTTGTTGAAAAAGAACGAGAGGTGGTTATGGAACGCTGAATGTCAACGCCTTTGAGGGTATCAAGCAGAGCTTGATACAATCCCCAGTCCTAGCAATAGCCGATCAGGACAGGCCATTTCATGTGGTCTGTGATGCCAGCGATTTCGCAATCGGCTGTGCATTAATGCAGTACGACCTTGAAGGCGTTGAACGCGTCGTCTGCTATCAGTCGCGTCAGCTGCAACCAGCTGAGCGGAACTATCCAGTGCATGACAAGGAACTCCTTGCCATGAAGTATGCACTCGCGAAGTTCAGAGTCTATCTATTAGAGATAGACCCTTCGTTGTTTACACTGACCATGCGTCCTTACGCACGGCAGTGAACAGCCCGCACCTTTCACAACGAATGGCGCGGTGGTTGTCATTCTTTGCAGAATACAACTTTACGGTCGAGTACAAACCAGGACGACTTAATGTCGTCGCTGATGCACTCTCACGTCGTCCCGACTTTGAAACAGTCGCGAAACCCAACAGTGAGACAGTCACTGTTGCGGTTATGACGTCCTCAGTTCCATCTACAACGTTGTATGATGATGTGAGGCGGGCATACGCCCAAGATGGTGAGATAGTGAAGTTGTTGTCACATCTCTCCCAACCATCCCGAGAATCGTTGAAACGATTGTCGCCTGCGTATCGATCTGCATCAGATCGATACACTACTCGTAACGGTTTACTGTATTATACAGCCGTTTCTGGTGACACACCACGTGTTGTCATTCCAGATGATATTGATCTGCGTTTGCGGATCATGTTCGAGTATCACGATGCTCCTATAGGAGGACATCGTGGCCGAGAGAAAACATATCTCACGGTAAGTCGAGACTTTTACTGGCCCCGCCAGTATCAGTTTGTGCGAAAGTATGTTCGCGCATGCGAAGTCTGCCAACGAGTGAAGTCAAGTCCTTCACTGCGTGCACCTTTACAGCCTCTACCGGTTCCGGCTGAGTGCTGGGAATCCATCTCAATGGATTTCGTCTTCGGGTTACCCAAAGACGCACGCGGGAATACGGGTATTCTCGTATTTGTTGACAGATTCAGCAAAATGGTACACCTTGTGGCTGTACCAGAGACAATCACGGCAAGTGGCTGTGCTTGTGTCTTTATTGACACCATCTTCCGACTTCATGGGTTGCCCCGTGAACTCGTATCAGACAGAGATCCACGATTCACTGCTGATTTCTGGCGTTCCGTGTTCAAATCACTCGGAACGCGCTTGAAGATGTCAACATCTGATCATCCAGAGTCAGATGGTCAGACGGAACGTGCCAATCGTGTCCTTGAAGAGATACTTCGAGGATACGTACACTCCTTTAAGAGTTGGAGTGAGTTTTTGCCGATGGTAGAGTTTGCCATCAACAACTCGGTGCATGCGTCCACGAGACATACACCGTTTTACGTGAATGGCTTGCGCCATCCGCGTGTACCCACCTTACTAGAGTGTAACTCTGGTTTAAGGGGGGGAGGGACTCGCGCGAGCAAAAACCGATTTGGTTCACGCTCATCACGCTCTGACGAAGAAGTCATTGCGTTTGATGCCGATATCGATAACATCGATATCGAAGAAGATGATGCCAGTGAGAGTGCGGAAGCCCTCACTGAAGAAGATGATCCCAGTGAGAGTGCGGAAGCCCTCACTGAAGAAAAGGTTGTTGTCGCTGCAGTGCGCTCACAGCACACTGAAGCTAACGAGTCATCAGATGAGTTCATACTGGCTCGTGAAACGGTAGTCCGTTTTGTGCAAGACTCCATCGCCGAAGCGGTGGATAAGCAAAAGCAAAACGCTGACAAGAATGGAAGGGCAAACACTCTTTATTTAATAAAGGTGACTTAGTCCTACTGTCTACGGTTAATCTACCAAAACATGTAGTGACTAACTTGGGTAGCAGTAAACTACTACCCAAGTACATTGGCCCATTTCGTGTATTGCACCGCCTAGGCAATGCATACACGATCGAGTTACCACGTAAGATGCGAACGCATCCCACGTTTTACGTTGGTCGGCTTAAGCCGTACCATCAGTACGCTGCTTCTTCCGATGAAGAACGCCCTTGCGCTCAAGCATCTCGCAGAGAGCCTTGTGCTCCCGATGGTGGGCATCAACAAGGGTCTGAAGAGCAGTTATTTCAGCCCGAGACCGATCAACAATCCCACGAGCTACCCTTAGCTCGTCACGAAGAGATGTCAGAGATCTCTCGTTCTCAAGCTGAGCAAAGGCAAACTCAGCTCGATGCTTCGAGGCAGTGTCCACCATCTGGAGACGCCTATTCCGCTCATGCTCGAGATCGTCGCGTAACCCTTGCGTTACGCGATCAAAGAAGCTCTCGGGAACACACCGATCCACATGATCGTGTGGAGAGCGTCTTTCCTCCTCCTCCACCTCCATTAGAGGACTCTCGCGGTGGCCAGCGCTATCTAGTTGAGCAGCTGTTGAACCACCGCGACGTGAACGGACGTCGGACGAGTTACCTCGTCCGGTGGCGCGGCTATCCCCCGTCCTGGGATTCTTGGGAGCCCCGCTCCCAATTAATGGTTGACGTACTGGGTCTGGTCGAGCAGTACGACGCGGCACATCCTGTGCCGCAGAAGGACCGCCGGAGAAAGTCTTCCCGGCACGGTCGTAAAGGGATTTCAGGTTGTCAATCCCTTCGTACATCTCAGTAGAGACACGTACGCGCCACCACGGGCTGGTAAGGAGGTAAGCCTCCTTAGGTGCTCGTGCAGAGTTGTTCACACAACATGGGCACGAGTCTCCCCAAGAGAGGCAGGGTAATCCTTTCTCCCTTGACAGACGATGCAGCTTATAGCGTGCACCTGTCGGGGTTCGCTTTTCAAACTTATCACGAGCTTTGATAAGTTTGTCGTTCCAAGCGTCACGACCTACATCCTCGAGATTATGGATGTAGGCGTTCCACGCCTGAAGTAGTGAGGGACCATCACGTTTGTGATTCCCACTGTACCATCGATGTCTGAAGAAAGCATCGATGAAGAACCTCATGTTCAGCGCGATAGTCTTTCGCGCTGGGGTCAAGGTGATGAATCCTTGACGAATCGAACAATCGTGTTCGATAACGATCACTCGTCGTCGCCGACAAGTGATCCATGACAGATTTAGGAGGCATCCATGCCTTCTTTCTGGAGCGAGACGCAACACATTGCGGTCCCGCTCTTCCTGCGACGTGCCGACAGAAGTACTGGCACCTCGCTGTGAAGTGGTGTCCATTGGAGAAACGACACCACTATTAGCGCCCGAGTCTCGCGACCTCGAGCGCCTTCGCTTCGGCGATGGTTCATCTGACTCATCAGATGAACCAAAGATGCTGCGACGCAAAGCATCGTCCATGCCACGCTTGGCAGGCGGCTTGGATTCAATTGCCGTCGATACGGATCCGTCATCCGTATCAGGAGAGTACGAGACACCGAGCTCGTACTCTGTGAAGACACGAGTGTCTTCATGACCAGCGCCTGCATCACCAGGTGATACAGGCTGAGTCGATTCAGCAACCGATGGGACATCAGTTGCTGTAGTTTCTGCTTCGGCGTCCGCACAGAGACGTGCAGACGCGCTCTCGGCGGCCTTGCTCGCGCATCGCATGGGCTTGTTTACCATGCGATGAGATGTTGGAAAGTGGACGCGGACCAACAAGTGCAAACCCCGTCCCAAATGATTTGGGACGAGTATCCATTTAGTCAATCAGTCACTAAAGTGACTGATGGTTAAGGGGGGTGATGTAACGGGGTGAATCGTTACATAACAATTTATAAGAAATTGTTAATAGAATATAACTATAAGAGTTATATTCTCAGAATATTGTCATAAGGACAATATTCTGTAGCACTTCCAAGTAGTTCCTAATTGGTTGATATAGGCCATTATATCAACCAACGAAGACGCGCCACGACAGACGCACGCAATGAGTGGTGAGCAGATAACTGATTTACACATTTGTATTTAGACATAGTTAGATGAAGATAAATAGTGATTTATTGCAGACATTAACTATTATAAATACAGTTCTACTTTTTACTCTAACCGAGTACTCGCTTCTTCTTACCGTCTTCCTCTGCACGTACGAGTGTACGTGAAGTTACGAGGCACCGCCTTATTCTGTTATCAGAATAAGTAGCTTGTACTGTCACCAGTACAAGCTTCAGGGTGCCCCGTTACAGATAACGTAAAGTACAGACTCTATTAGTGTCCATCAGGATAATGAAAAGTACAGACTCCGGCGTGTCAGATTAATAATTAGTGTTAATATTTTAACTGCAGCCAACGTGTGACGGGTAAGCCTGGTACTTGTAATTAACCTTAATACTTGTTAGTAAGAATATTATCATAAAGGTTGGTAATGCTCGTGAATATTACCACATGGGGTAATATTCCGAAGCACTCGCCGATTGGCTGATATGGGCCATCATTTCAGCCAGCTCTAGCGGTCCAATCAAGAGTAAATTTCATTCCCAGCACCATCCAAATGCAAACATTGCAAAACTCGCATCAGTTGCAAAACCCGCACCACTTCAGCACGGAATTATTATATACCACGCTGTTTCATCCTGCCAAGACCTTAAATTCCTATCGATCTATCTGCAGTAGCTACTCAAGACATGTCACCCCGACCTTTTATGGCCCATCAACTTCAGCGGAGATCATCCCTTGCTCGTCCTCAACTGTGTAGGGTACATCTCGTGCAGGCCTCTCGCGCGGTCGCTGTGTATGCGAAATGAGGGTCGGGATGGGGCAAAGCATAGAAAATGACGCTTACCCACTGATTTTTAGTCTGAGGTGGATTTTAACAATAACAACCATTACATATGACTGCGCAGCAGTCGTGAATGATCAATTTCAAGTCATGCGCGATCCGATCGAACGTATCGGAGCCAAAGGTACCGTAGTTATGAGACCTTGTTGATGTACAAAGCTATCGTCACTGTTCTCACTTTGCATGGATGAAGTCTGTGTGAATCAAACATGTTGTGAGAATCGTGTTCTTGCTCATGATGACTACTTTATCTGCGTACCATTGGTGAAGAAGGAGCCACGGCTGAAAGGTGTTATGCCACTCCGAGACGCTCCGATGGTCGTGTGAGCGCGTTCGACGGGCTGTGCAAGAGGTCAATTGGAACCAAGCACCGCAACACTCGTCGTTGCTACGGGGATCGTGCGCTCAAGAGCAACATACATTTCGCTTGGTCCGTAAATACTAATGCATGGGAACAAATGCAGTGCTGTTGTACAGCAGCATAATTTAACCTTTTTGATAACGTATTTAGCATTGTATAATCCCCGTACGTGATCGAGTACCAGGTTTGTTATCCATGATTAGGCAAGAACAGGCATCGAGCAGCGTTTCAATGTTCAACAGACACGACTTCTGTCACTCCACTGTACAAACCTTTATGACAAGAATACGATGGCGCTGTGAGTTAAGAGTGCACCTCTGTTTAGTAAGATGGAATTGGATTCTCGATTGCGGGAGTCATTCGAAAAGATGTCTACTACAGCGATTGCAGTCGTAAAAATGACAACATCATCGATGGATCATACACATCACCAGGGAAAATTTATTCGCAGCTACTTTTTCGTTGTAATGGACAAAACCATTTAAGCGGCACATGAATCGTACCTTAGTCGGTCGCTGCCTTTTCACCGGCCATTTCCTGGCAGTAATAGTTTTTAGTCCATGTCAATACTACGCTTGGCATATGCAGACTTAGATTGATCAGTCACCCATGGGATAGCGTGATACAAATTGACTCTGCACGAGGTAGTACTGGTTATGCGACCGGTGCGCTTTTTGCAATGTTTGCAGTTGGTTGGTGCTGAAGTTGCGATCTCCTCTCCAAATCAACAATGGCGCGCGCAATGAGTGGTGAGCAAGACTTCGATATACAATTATGTAGATAAACATAGTCAAGTTATGACTAAACATTGGTGCATGTATTCAAAACTTATTTACATATAATACAGTTTTACCTTTTACTCCTACTAAGTGCGTCGTTCATTAGTTACCATTCCTCTGCACGTACATTGTACGTAGAGTGACGCACGGCACTACCTACACTGTTGTCAGTGTAGGTGCAGTAGTACCAAAGCAGCATAGTACCCAGTGCCCCGTTTCACATCGCGTTGTACCCCCGAGAATCACACAATGCCTCTTAGCAGGATCTGAGCGGACTTGTGTGATGCAGACTAATCTCAATGCCTAAATCACTGCAAAAGTGTTGCTGGAGTTATCGTTCCTAGAGAAGTTTCATACCGGGTCTAAATGTGAGGACCTTTATACAGTTTTTGTCGTTTAGATTATAATTTATTCGCTTCATTTGTGAATGAAACGGGACGCACCTTATCAGCAAATTACTTAAAACTGTAACGGGGTGAATCGTTACATAACAATTTATAAGAAATTGTATAGAATATAACTATAAGAGTTATATTCTCAGAATATTGTCATAAGGACAAATATTCTGTAGCACTTACGAGTAGTTCCTAATTGGTTGATATAGGCCATTATATCAACCAACGAAGACGCGCCACGACAGACGTACGCAATGAGTGGTGAGCAGATAGTTGATATGCACATTTGTATTCAGACATAGTTAGATGAAGATAAATAGTGATTTATTAGCAGACATTAACTATTATAAATACAGTTCTACTTTTTACTCTAACCAAGTACTCGCTTCTTCTTACCGTCTTCCTCTGCACGTACGAGTGTACGTGAAGTTACGAGGCACCGCCTTATTCTGTCGTCAGAATAAGTAGCTTGTACTATCACCATTACAAGCTTCAGGGTGCCCCGTTACACCTGGTAGCACTTCGTAGTCCGTCCAAGGACCACGTTCACATCTAGCATGAATATGTTAGATGATGATGATGACTAAAGCTTTTATGCTACGCGTGACAACTACTCCCATATGAGCGATGTCGAATGGGATGCGGTTGAACGAATGGGTTCGACCATAGGCATCCATGCTGTTAGCGTCATGCTAGAGGCTCTCAATAGAGATGCCCAACATGCTACTATCGCCAAGTTCATTCAAAATGAACTTGACGCTGAACGAGAGAAAGTAGCCTTTCTTCACCAACAAGGTTCTCAACAAGCAGAATGTTACGGGGCAACCTGAAGCTTGTACTGATGACAGGACAAGCTACTTATTCTGATGGCAGAATAAGGCGGTGCCTCGGAACTTCACGTACACTCGTACGTGCAGAGGAAGACGGTAAGAAGAAGCGAGTACTTGGTTAAAGTAAAAAGTAGAACTGTATTTATAATAGTTAATGTCTGCAATAAATCACTATTTATCTTCATCTAACTATGTCTGAATGCAAATGTGCATATCAACTATCTGCTCACCACTCATTGCGTACGTCTGTCGTGGCGCGTCTTCGTTGGTTGATATAATGGCATATATCAACCAATTAGGAACTACTCGTAAGTGCTACAGAATATTTGTCCTTATGACAATATTCTGAGAATATAACTCTTATAGTTATATTCTATTAACAATTTCTTATAAATGTTATGCAACGATTCACCCCGTTACATCACCCCCCTTAACCATCAGTCACTTTAGTGACTGATTGACTAAATGGATACTCGTCCCAAATCATTTGGGACAGGGTTTGCACTTGTTGGTCCGAGTCCACTTCCCAACATTTCATCGCATGGTTAACAAGCCCATGCGATGCGCGAGCAAGGCCGCCGAGAGCGCGTCCGCAAGTCTTGTGCGGACGCCGAGGCAGAAATCACAGCAACTGATGTCTCATCGGTTGCTGAAGCGACCCAGCCTGTGTCACTTGGTGATGCAGGCGCTGGTCATGAAGACACTCATGTCTTCACAGAGTACGAGCTCGGTGTCTCGTACTCTCCTGATACGGATGACGGATCCGTATCGACGGCGATCGAATTCATGCCGCCTGCCAAGCGTGGCATGGATGATGCTATGCGTCATAGCATCTTTGGTTCATCTGATGAATCAGATGAACCATCGCCGAAGCGAAGGCGCTCGAGGTCGCGAGACTCGGGCGCTAACAGTGGTGTCGGTTCTCCTATGGACACCACTTCGCAACGAGGTGCCAGTACTTCTGTCGGCACATCGCAGGAAGAGCGGGACCGCAATGTCTTGCGTCTCGCTACTGAGAAGAAGGCATGGATGTTTCCAAAATCCGTCATGGATCACTTGTCGGCGACGACGAGTGATCGTTATCGAACACGATTGTTCGATTCGTCAAGGATCCATCACCTTGACCCCAGTGCGAAGAACTACCGAGCTGAGAATGAATTCTTCATCGATGCTTTCTTTAGACATCGATGGTACAGTGGGAATCACAAACGTGATGGTCCCTCACTGCTTCAGGCGTGGAACGCCTACATCCATAACCTCGAGGATGTAGGTCGTGACGCTTGGAACGACAAACTTATCAGAGCTCGTGATAAGTTTGAAAAGCGAACCCCGACAGGTGCACGCTACAAGCTGCATCGTCTGTCAAGGGAGAAAGGATTACTGTAACGGGGTGAATCGTTACATAACAATTTATAAGAAATTGTTAATAGAATATAACTATAAGAGTTATATTCTCAGAATATTGTCATAAGGACAAATATTCTATAGCACTTCCAAGTAGTTCCTAATTGGTTGATATAGGCCATTATATCAACCAACGAAGACGCGCCACGACAGACGCACGCAATGAGTGGTGAGCAGATAACTGATTTACACATTTGTATTTAGACATAGTTAGATGAAGATAAATAGTGATTTATTGCAGACATTAACTATACTAAATACAGTTCTACTTTTTACTCTAACCAAGTACTCGCTTCTTCTTACCGTCTTCCTCTGCACGTACGAGTGTACGTGAAGTTACGAGGCACCGCCTTATTCTGTCGTCAGAATAAGTAGCTTGTACTATCACCATTACAAGCTTCAGGGTGCCCCGTTACACCTGGTAGCACTTCGTAGTCCGTCCAAGGACCACGTTCACATCTAGCATGAATATGTTAGATGATGATGATGACTAAAGCTTTTATGCTACGCGTGACAACTACTCCCATATGAGCGATGTCGAATGGGATGCGGTTGAACGAATGGGTTCGACCATGGGCATCCATGCTGTTAGCGTCATGCTAGAGGCTCTCAATAGAGATGCCCAACATGCTACTATCGCCAAGTTCATTCAAAATGAACTTGACGCAGAACGCGAGAAAGTAGCCTTAATTCACCAACAAGGTTCTCAACAAGCAGAGTTGTTGAGAGAACAGGGTGCTCAACAGTTTGAACTGTTGAGACAGCAGCAGGCTGCTGCTGGTGGGTCGATGCACTCGCGTCGGCCCGAGACTTTGAAGATTGACATCTCAAAGTATAGGGGGGTCGAAGAAGACTCCCTCTTGAGATGGTTCGTCGAATTGGATGACGCCATAAGGGCGCGCCGCATCGACGACGGGGATATGCAAGTTGCATTTGCCCAGTCAAACCTGGCAGGACGTGCCAAGACTTGGGCACTGGGGCTCAAGCTGCACGACCCATATGCGTTTGGGTCGTTGGAAGTCTTCAAGTCGCGGCTCAGACAAACGTTTGAACCGCCTAGAGCTGAGTTCAGAGCTCGAACCGAACTCTTGAAGCTCAAGCAGGGTAAGCGTGATGTGCACGCTTACGCGCAACATATACGACATCTCACGAGTTGTATAAGTTCCAATCCGGTGGATGAACACACGTTGGTTTCGGTGTTCATGCAGGGTCTTGCGGATGGTCCCGTCAAGACTCACCTGTTCCGGCTTGAACTAGATTCACTAGAACAAGCCATTTCAATTGCGGAGCAGGAAGACTTCAGTCTGAGACAGGCTCGCGCCAGCTCGACATCATATCGTCAACCGAGACGATATGACAACGGAGGTCCAGAGCCGATGGAACTCTGTTATGTAGAGAGCGAGAAGGCTCGCTCTACAGGCTACAAGAAGTTGCAGAGATGCAACAGATGTCAAAAGACAGGACACTACGCTTACGAGTGTAGTGCCCCTCGTCCAGTGTCTCGCGACACTGGGCGTAGTGACCGTCCACCCATGAGAAAGGGGCAGGGACGAGGGTCCGCAGTTGGTGCAAAGACGCAACAACGGGATGGACCGTAAAAAAACGGACAGGATCAGTAGGTGCGGAGCACCCTACTGATCCAGCAACGTCAAGAGAATTTGTAGGCCTCTTGATGAAGGTTGCTCCCAACACACAGACATTGTGCGTTGCTGCTCTAGGTAATGAGATCTCACTCATTACCTTGAAACTCGAAGTGACGAATAAGTTGTCCCTTCGAGCTCTAGTCGATTGTGGGGCGTCCAACAGTTTTGTGCGACGCCAATCGCTAGAAGATGGTCACTTCAAGTTTAGTGAATGTGACACACCTCCTACGAGGATGACGGTACGTCTTGCGACAGGCGCATCCGTAACCGTCATGAAGCGTATAGTGAAGATTCACTATACGCTAGAAGATACCCAATACGACGATGACTTTATCGTATTGGATTTGGATGACAAATTTGATGTCATCCTTGGAATACCGTGGCTCAGAAGGTACGAACCACGGGTAAACTGGCAACATCGGACAGTAACGATGCCTGCCGCTTGTTCATCAGATGGCCATCTGATGAACGTTTTGGAGCGTCCACAAGCGTGTGGATGTACTACGAGTGAGTGCGATGGCCTCACTTGTGGTACGGTCGTTAGTACGACTGCACAAAACCTTAGTGTACCAAACGGTTACACTTCGGAGCAAAGTTCCGGCGGCTGTGAGGAAACACAGGCTGCGCCGAAGGTCCACCACTCGAATAAGTCGGGTGGACTGGGACAAAGATGTATCCCTAGAGGGGAACATCTAGAAGAGAAACAATCGATCGCTCAGGTTAAGCGAAACGATAATCCTAGATCGACTGGAGAGTCTTTCGTAGAGGATCTCGCTGTGGTTGCGCAACCCCAGCTAGAGGAAGTAAAGGGAATAAGTCCCAAGATTACAATTACGGCGGAAATAAGTTCCCCGAAACCCGCGGGAATAAGTCCCCGGGAAGACGAAGGAATAAGTCCTTCGAAGCCTGAGGGAATAAGTCCCCAGGAAATGACAGAGACATTGAATGTCATAGTCAATAACGGATCATGTGTAGGCGCTTATACACTTGATCTGATTGCGCCTCCGAAGTTAACTTCGGAGATCACTCAGTTGCCAACGCTCGAACATAAAAGATTCTTGCGTGATCTGCGTAGTGGCAAAGTCAAGCAGATCTGCATACTCGTCGCTGAAGACGAGTGTGTAACCGACATAAGGTCAGCAACAGTGTTTACTGAGAACGAGAGAGTTCTCAGTAGTTCATCTATGGACGAGAGTGTCCTAGATGAAAAGACACGAATTGAGCGATATGAGTCCCAATCATGGGAATCGCTCAAGGAAAATCCTCTCTATGAAGATTTGGTTGAATTCAAGGATGTATTCCCTGAAACTGTTCCGTGCGAATTACCGAAGGATAAAGGTATTCGACACGAAGTCGAGCTTAAACCAGGCTCGAAGTACTGTGTCATGAAGCAGTGGCCACTGCCTCGTGAACAAGTACTTGCGATCGACAAGTTCTTTGCCGATCGTTTAGCAGCGGGCCATGTGAGGGAATCAACTTCCCCACATAGCTCTCCGACCTTCTGTGTGCGAAAAGCAACAGGAGGGTGGCGGATAGTGCACGCGTTTAACAAATTGAACGCTGCAACGGTACCGGCTCAGACGCCGATACCGAGGAAGGACGTAATCATTGATGGTATGTCAAAGAGTACCATCTTTTCGTCCATGGATTTGATGGATGGCTTCTATGAAATCCTTATGCAAGAACGGGATATACCCTATACCGCAGTTAGCACGCCTAGCGGCATGCTCTGGGAATGGCTAGTAATGCCACAAGGGCTCAGTAATGCCCCTGCCACGTTCAACAGGTGTGTATCACATCTGTTGAGGCCAGTACGAGAATTCGCGCCGAGTTATTTCGATGACGTATTCATCCATAGTCGAGCTATGGATGGAAAGTCGGACGTTGAGGTTCACAAGTACCACGTCCGACAAGTTCTTACAATCATGCGAAAGCATCAATTGTATGCAAACCTCAAGAAGTGTATATTTGCAGCAAGCGAAATACCACTTCTTGGGTGCATCGTTGGTAAGAACGGTGTACGTCCTGATCCCGAAAAGATCAAGGCGATCACCGACTGGGCTGTGCCGGTCGATGTCAAAGGTCTTCGAAAATTCCTTGGGCTAGCGGCGTATTTGCATAAGTATTCACGCAATTACGCCGAGATGACTGTACACCTCTCTCGTTTGTTGAAAAAGAACGAGAGGTGGTTATGGAACGCTGAATGTCAACGCTCCTTTGAGGGTATCAAGCGGAGCTTGATACAATCCCCAGTCCTAGCAATAGCCGATCAGGACAGGCCATTTCATGTGGTCTGTGATGCCACCGATTTCGCAATCGGCTGTGCATTAATGCAGTACGACCTTGAAGGCGTTGAACGCGTCGTCTGCTATCAGTCGCGTCAGCTGCAACCAGCTGAGCGGAACTATCCAGTGCATGACAAGGAACTCCTTGCCATGAAGTATGCACTCGCGAAGTTCAGAGTCTATCTATTAGGAGATAGACCCTTCATTGTTTACACTGACCATGCGTCATTACGCACGGCAGTGAACAGCCCGCACCTTTCACAACGAATGGCGCGGTGGTTGTCATTCTTTGCAGAATACAACTTTACGGTCGAGTACAAACCAGGACGACTTAATGTCGTCGCTGATGCACTCTCACGTCGTCCCGACTTTGAAACAGTCGCGAAACCCAACAGTGAGACAGTCACTGTAGCGGTTATGAAGTCCTCAGTCCCATCTACAACGTTGTATGATGATGTGAGGCGGGCATACGCCCAAGATGGTGAGATAGTGAAGTTGTTGGCACATCTTTCACAACCATCCCGAGAATCGTTGAAACGATTGTCGTCTGCGTATCGATCTGCATCAGATCGATACACTACTCGTAACGGTTTACTGTACTATACAGCCGTTTCTGGTGACACACCACGTGTTGTCATTCCAGATGATACTGATCTGCGTTTGCGGATCATGTTCGAGTATCACGATGCTCCTATAGGAGGACATCGTGGCCGAGAGAAAACATATCTCACGGTAAGTCGAGACTTTTACTGGCCCCGCCAGTATCAGTTTGTGCGAAAGTATGTTCGCGCATGCGAAGTCTGCCAACGAGTGAAGTCAAGTCCTTCACTGCGTGCACCTTTACAGCCTCTACCGGTTACGGCTGAGTGCTGGGAATCCATCTCAATGGATTTCGTCTTCGGGTTACCCAAAGACGCACGCGGGAATACGGGTATTCTCGTATTTGTTGACAGATTCAGCAAAATGGTACACCTTGTGGCTGTACCAGAGACAATCACGGCAAGTGGCTGTCCTTGTGTCTTTATCGACACCATCTTCCGACTTCATGGGTTGCCCCGTGAACTCGTATCAGACAGAGATCCATGCTTCACTGCTGATTTCTAGCGTTCCGTGTTCAAATCACTCGGAACGCGCTTGAAGATGTCGACACCTGACACCTGATCACCCAGAGTCAGATGGTCAGACGGAACGTGCCAATCGTGTCCTCGAAGAGATACTTCGAGGATACGTACACTCCTTTATAAGTTGGAGTGAGATTTTACCAATGGTAGAGTTTGCCATTAACAACTCGGTGCATGCGTCCACGACACATACACCGTTTTACGTGAATGGCTTGCGCCATCCGCGTGTAGCCACCTTACTAAAGTGTAACTCTGGTTTAAGGGGGGAAGGGACTCGCGCGAGCAAAAACCGATTTGGTTCACGCTCATCACGCTCTGACGAAGAAGTCATTGCGTTTGATGCCGATATCGATAACATCGATATCGAAGAAGATGATGCCAGTGAGAGTGCGGAAGCCCTCACTGAAGAAAAGGTTGATGTTGCTGCAGTGCGCTCACAGCGCACTGAAGCTAACGAGTCATCAGATGAGTTCATACTGGCTCGTGAAACGGTAGTCCGTTTTGTGCAAGACTCCATCGCCGAAGCGGTGGATAAGCAAAAGCAAAACGCCGATAAGAATGGAAGGGCAAACACTCTTTTATTTAATAAAGGTGACTTAGTCCTACTGTCTACGGTTAATCTACCAAAGCATGTAGTGACTAACTTGGATAGCAGTAAACTACTACCCAAGTACATCGGCCCATTTCGTGTATTGCACCGCCTAGGCAATGCATACACGATCGAGTTACCACGTAAGATGCGAACGCATCCCACGTTTTACGTTGGTCGGCTTAAGCCGTACCATCAGTACGCTGCTTCTTCCGATGAAGAACGCCCTTGCGCTCAAGCATCTCGCAGAGAGCCTTGTGCTCCCGATGGTGGGCATCAACAAGGGTCTGAAGAGCAGTTATCTCAGCCCGAGACCGATCAACAATCCCACGAGCTACCCTTAGCTCGTCACGAAGAGATGTCAGAGATCTCTCGTTCTCAAGCTGAGCAAAGGCAAACTCATCTCGATGCTTCGAGGCAGTGTCCACCATCTGGAGACGCCTATTCCGCTCATGCTCGAGATCGTCGCGTAACCCTTGCGTTACGCGATCAAAGAAGCTCTCGGGAACACACCGATCCACATGATCGTGTGGAGAGCGTCTTTCCTCCTCCTCCACCTCCATTAGAGGACTCTCGCGGTGGCCAGCGCTATCTAGTTGAGCAGCTGTTGAACCACCGCGACGTGAACGGACGTCGGACGAGTTACCTCGTCCGGTGGCGCGGCTATCCCCCGTCCTGGGATTCTTGGGAGCCCCGCTCCCAATTGATGGTTGACGTACTGGGTCTGGTCGAGTAGTACGACGCGACACATCCTGTGCCGCAGAAGGACCGCCGGAGAAAGTCTTCCCGGCACGGTCGTAAAGGGATTTCAGGTTGTCAATCCCTTCGTACATCTCAGTAGAGACACGTACGCGCCACCACGGGCTGGTAAGGAGGTAAGCCTCCTTAGGTGCTCGTGCAGAGTTGTTCACACAACATGGGCACGAGTCTCCCCAAGAGAGGCGGGGTAATCCTTTCTCCCTTGACAGACGATGCAGCTTGTAGCGTGCACCTGTCGGGGTTTGCTTTTCAAACTTATCACGAGCTTCGATAAGTTTGTCGTTCCAAGCGTCACGACCTACATCCTCGAGATTATGGATGTAGGCGTTCCACGCCTGAAGCAGTGAGGGACCATCACGTTTGTGATTCCCACTGTACCATCGATGTCTGAAGAAAGCATCGATAAAGAACTCATGTTCAGCGCGATAGTCTTTCGCGCTGGGGTCAAGGTGATGAATCCTTGACGAATCGAACAATCGTGTTCGATAACGATCACTCGTCGTCGCCGACAAGTGATCCATGACAGATTTAGGAGGCATCCATGCCTTCTTTTCTGGAGCGAGACGCAACACATTGCGGTCCCGCTCTTCCTGCGACGTGCCGACAGAAGTACTGGCACCTCGCTGTGAAGTGGTGTCCATTGGAGAAACGACACCACTATTAGCGCCCGAGTCTCGCGACCTCGAGCGCCTTCGCTTCGGCGATGGTTCATCTGACTCATCAGATGAACCAAAGATGCTGCGACGCAAAGCATCGTCCATGCCACGCTTGGCAGGCGGCTTGGATTCAATTGCCGTCGATACGGATCCGTCATCCGTATCAGGAGAGTACGAGACACCGAGCTCGTACTCTGTGAAGACACGAGTGTCTTCATGACCAGCGCCTGCATCACCAGGTGATACAGGCTGAGTCGATTCAGCAACCGATGGGATATCAGTTGCTGTAGTTTCTGCTTCGGCGTCCGCACAGAGACGTGCAGACGCGCTCTCGGCGGCCTTGCTCGCGCATCGCATGGGCTTGTTTACCATGCGATGAGATGTTGGAAAGTGGACGCGGACCAACAAGTGCAAACCCCGTCCCAAATGATTTGGGACGAGTATCCATTTAGTCAATCAGTCACTAAAGTGACTGATGGTTAAGGGGGGTGATGTAACGGGGTGAATCGTTACATAACAATTTATAAGAAATTGTTAATAGAATATAACTATAAGAGTTATATTCTCAGAATATTGTCATAAGGACAATATTCTGTAGCACTTCCAAGTAGTTCCTAATTGGTTGATATATGCCATTATATCAACCAACGAAGACGCGCCACGACAGACGCACGCAATGAGTGGTGAGCAGATAACTGATTTACACATTTGTATTTAGACATAGTTAGATGAAGATAAATAGTGATTTATTGCAGACATTAACTATTATAAATACAGTTCTACTTTTTACTCTAACCAAGTACTCGCTTCTTCTTACCGTCTTCCTCTGGACGTACGAGTGTACGTGAAGTTACGAGGCACCGCCTTATTCTGTTATCAGAATAAGTAGCTTGTACTGTCACCAGTACAAGCTTCAGGGTGCCCCGTTACAATTACCCTGCCTCTCTTGGGGAGACTCGTGCCCATGTTGTGTGAACAACTCTGCACGAGCACCTAAGGAGGCTTACCTCCTTACCAGCCCGTGGTGGCGCGTACGTATCTCTACTGAGATGTACGAAGGGATTGACAACCTGAAATCCCTTTACGACCGTGCCGGGAAGAATTTCTCCGGCGGTCCTTCTGCGGCACAGGATGTGCCGCGTCGTACTGCTCAACCAGACCCAGTACGCCAACTATCAGTTGGGAGCGGGGCTCCCAAGAATCCCAGGACGGGGGATAGCCGCGCCACCGGACGAGATAACTCGTCCGACGTCCGTTCACGTCGCGGTGGTTCAACAGCTGCTCAACTAGATAGCGCTGGCCGCCGCGAGAGTCCTCTAATGGAGGTGGAGGAGGAGGAAAGACGCTCTCCACACGATCATGTGGATCGGTATGTTCCCGAGAGCTTCTTTGATCGCGTAACGCAAGGGTTACGCGACGATCTCGAACATGAGCGGAATAGGCGTCTCCAAATGGCGGACACTGCCTCGAAGCATCGAGCTGAGTTTGCCTTTGCTCAGCTTGAGAACGAGAGATCTCTGACATCTCTTCGTGACGAGCTAAGGGTAGCTCGTGGGATTGCTGATCGGTCTCGGGATGAGATAGCTGCTCTTCAGACCCTTGTTGATGCCCACCATCGGGAGCACAAGGCTCTCTGCGAGATGCTTGAGCGCAAGGGCGTTCTTCATCGGAAGAAGCATCGTACTGATGGTACGGCTTAAGCCGACCAACGTAAAACGTGGGATGCGTTCGCATCTTACGTGGTAACTCGATCGTGTATGCATTGCCTAGGCGGTGCAATACACGAAATGGGCCGATGTACTTGGGTAGTAGTTTACTGCTATCCAAGTTAGTCACTACATGCTTTGGTAGATTAACCGTAGACAGTAGGACTAAGTCACCTTTATTAAATATAAGAGTGTTTGCACTTCCATTCTTATCGGCGTTTTGCTTTTGCTTATCCACCGCTTCGGCGATGGAGTCTTGCACAAAACGGACTACCGTTTCACGAGCCAGTATGAACTCATCTGATGACTCGTTAGCTTCAGTGCGCTGTGAGCGTACTGCAGCAACATCAACCTTTTCTTCAGTGAGGGCTTCCGCACTCTCACTGGCATCATCTTCTTCGATATCGATGTTATCGATATCGGCATCAAACGCAATGACTTCTTCGTCAGAGCGTGATGAGCGTGAACCAAATCGGTTTTTGCTCGCGCGAGTCCCTTCCCCCCTTAAACCAGAGTTACACTTTAGTAAGGTGGCTACACGCGGATGGCGCAAGCCATTCACGTAAAACGGTGTATGTGTCGTGGACGCATGCACCGAGTTGTTAATGGCAAACTCTACCATTGGTAAAATCTCACTCCAACTTATAAAGGAGTGTACGTATCCTCGAAGTATCTCTTCGAGGACACGATTGGCACGTTCCGTCTGACCATCTGACTCTGGGTGATCAGGTGTCGACATCTTCAAGCGCGTTCCGAGTGATTTGAACACGGAACGCTAGAAATCAGCAGTGAAGCATGGACCTCTGTCTGATACGAGTTCACGGGGCAACCCATGAAGTCGGAAGATGGTGTCAATAAAGACACAAGCACAGCCACTTGCCGTGATTGTCTCTGGTACAGCCACAAGGTGTACCATTTTGCTGAATCTGTCAACAAATACGAGAATACCCGTATTCCCGCGTGCGTCTTTGGGTAACCCGAAGACGAAATCCATTGAGATGGATTCCCAGCACTCAGCCGTAACCGGTAGAGGCTGTAAAGGTGCACGCAGTGAAGGACTTGACTTCACTCGTTGGCAGACTTCGCATGCGCGAACATACTTTCGCACAAACTGATACTGGCGGGGCCAGTAAAAGTCTCGACTCACCGTGAGATATGTATTCTCCCGGCCACGATGTCCTCCTATAGGGGCATCGTGATACTCGAACATGATCCGCAAACGCAGATCAGTATCATCTGGAATGACAACACGTGGTGTGTCACCAGTAACGGCTGTATAATACAGTAACCCGTTGCGAGTAGTGTATTGATCTGATGCAGATCGATACGCAGACGACAATCGTTTCAACGATTCTCGGGATGGTTGGGAGAGATGCGTCAACAACTTCACAATCTCACCATCTTGGGCGTATGCCCGCCTCACATCATCATACAACGTTGTAGATGGGACTGAGGACTTCATAACCGCAACAGTGACTGTCTCACTGTTGTGTTTCGCGACTGTTTCAAAGCGGGACGACGTGAGAGTGCATCAGCGACGACATTAAGTCGTCCTGGTTTGTACTCGACCGTAAAGTTGTATTCTGCAAAGAATGACAACCACCGCGCCATTCGTTGTGAAAGGTGCGGGCTGTTCACTGCCGTGCGTAATGACGCATGGTCAGTGTAAACAACGAAGGGTCTATCTCCTAATAGATAGACTCTGAACTTCGCGAGTGCATACTTCATGGCAAGGAGTTCCTTGTCATGCACTGGATAGTTCCGCTCAGCTGGTTGCAGCTGACGCGACTGATAGCAGACGACGCGTTCAACGCCTTCAAGATCGTACTGCATTAATGCACAGCCGATTGCGAAATCGCTGGTATCACAGAACACATGAAATGGCCTGTCCTGATCGGCTATTGCTAGGACTGGGGATTGTATCAAGCTCTGCTTGATACCATCAAAGGAGCGTTGACATTCAGCGTTCCATAACCACCTCTCGTTCTTTTTCAACAAACGAGAGAGGTGCACAGTCATCTCGGCGTAATTGCGTGAATACTTATGCAAATACGCCGCTAGCTCAAGGAATTTTCGAAGACCTTTGACATCAACCGGCACAGCCCAGTCGGTGATCGCCTTGATCTTTTCGGGATCAGGACGTACACCGTTCTTACCAACGATGCACCCAAGAAGTGGTATTTCGCTTGCGGCAAATATACACTTCTTGAGGTTTGCATACAATTGATGCTTTCGCATGATTGTAAGAACCTGTCGGACGTGGTACCTGTGAACCTCAACGTCCGACTTTCCATCCATAGCTCGACTATGGATGAATACGTCATCGAAATAACTCGGCGCGAATTCTCGTACTGGTCTCAACAGATGTGATACACATCTGTTGAACGTGGCAGGGGCATTACTAAGCCCTTGTGGCATTACTAGCCATTCCCAGAGCATGCCGCTAGGCGTGCTAACTGCGGTATAGGGTATATCCCGTTCTTGCATAAGGATTTCATAGAAGCCATCCATCAAATCCATGGACGAAAAGATGGTTCTCTTTGACATACCATCAATGATTACGTCCTTCCTCGGTATAGGCGTCTGAGCCGGTACCGTTGCAGCATTCAACTTGTTAACTGCATGCACTATCCGCCACCCTCCTGTTGCTTTTCGCACACAGAAGGTCGGAGAGCTGTGTGGGGCTGTTGATTCCTTCACATGGCCCGCAGCTAAACGATCGGCAAAGAACTTGTCGATCGCAAGTACTTGTCCACGAGGCAGTGGCCACTGCTTCATGACACAGTACTTCGAGCCTGGTTTAAGCTCTACCTCGTGTCGAATACCTTTATCCTTCGGTAATTCGCACGGAACAGTTTCAGGGAATACATCCTTGAATTCAACCAAATCTTCATAGAGAGGATTTGTCTTGAGCGATTCCCAGGATTGGGAGTCATATCGCTCAATTCGTGTCTTTTCATCGAGGACACTCTCGTCCATAGATGAACTACTGAGAACTCTCTCGTTCCCAGTGAACACTGTTGCTGACCTTATGTCGGCTACACACTCGTCGTCAGCGACGAGTATGCAGATCTGCTTGACTTTGCCACTACGCAGATCACGCAAGAACCTTTTATGTTCGAGCGATGGCAACTGAGTGATCTCCGAAGTCAACTTCGGAGGCGCAATCAGATCAAGTGTGTAAGCGCCTACACTTGATCCGTTATTGAATAGGACATTCAATGTCTCTGTCATTTCCTGGGGACTTATTCCCTCAGGCTTCGAAGGACTTATTCCTTCGGCTTCCCGGGGACTTATTCCCTCGGGTTTCGGGGAACTTATTTCCGCCGTATTTGTAATATCGGGACTTATTCCCTTTACTTCCTATAGCTGTGGTTGCGCAACCACAGCGATATGCTCTACGATGGACTCTCCAGTCGATCTAGGATTATCGTTTCGCTTAACCTGAGCGATCGATTGTTTCTCTTCTAGATGTTCCCCGCTAGAGATACATCTTTGTCCCAGTCCACCCGACTTATTCGAGTGGTGGACCTTCGGCGCAGCCTGTGTTTCCTCACAGCCGCCGGAACTTTGCTCCGAAGTGTAACCGTTTGGTACACTAAGGTTTTGTGCAGTCGTACTAACGACCGTACCACAAGTGAGGCCATCGCACTCACTCGTAGTACATCCACACGCTTGTGGACGCTCCAAAACGTTCATCAGATGGCCGTCTGATGAACAAGCGGCAGGAATCGTTACTGTTCGATGTTGCCAGTTTACCCGTGGTTCGTACCTTCTGAGCCACGGTATTCCAAGGATGACATCAAATTTGTCATCCAAATCCAATACGATAAAGTCATCGTCACATTGGGTATCTTCTAGCGTATAGTGGATCTTCACTATACGCTTCACGACGGTTACGGATGCGCCTGTCGCAAGACGTACCTTCATCCTCGTAGAAGGTGTGTCACATTCACTGATCTTAAAAATGACCATCTTCTAGCGATTGGCGTCGCACAAAATTGTTGGACGCCCCAAAATCGACTAGAGCTTGAAGGGACAACTTATTCGTCACTTCGAGTTTCAAGGTAATGAGTGAGATCTCATTACCTAGAGCAGCAACGCACAATGTCTGTGTGTTGGGAGCAACCTTCATTAAGAGGCCCACAAATTCTCTTGAAGTTGCTGGACCAGTAGGGTGCTCCGCACCTACTGATCCTGTCCGTTTTTTGACGGTCCATCCCGTTGTTGCATCTTTGCACCAACGGCGGACCCTCGTCCCTGCCCCTTTCTCATGGGTGGACGGTCACTACGCCCAGTGTTGCGAGACACTGGACGAGGGGCACTACACTCGTAAGCGTAGTGTCCTGTCTTTTGACATCTGTTGCATCTCTGCAACTTCTTGTAGCCTGTAGAGCGAGCCTTCTCGCTCTCTACATAACAGAGTTCCATCGGCTCTGGACCTCCGTTGTCATATCGTCTCGGTTGACGATATGATGTCGAGCTGGCGCGAGCCTGTCTCAGACTGAAGTCTTCCTGTTCCGCAATGGAAATGGCTTGTTCTAGTGAATCTAGTTCAAGTCGGAACAGGTGAGTCTTGACGGGATCATCCGCAAGACCCTGCATGAACACCGAAACCAACATGTGTTCATCAACCGGGTTGGAACGTATACAACTCGTGAGATGTCGTATATGTTGCGCGTAAGCGTGCACATCACGATTACCCTTCTTGAGCTTCAAGAGCTCAGTTCGAGCTCTGAACTCAGCTCTAGGCGGTTCAAACGTTTGTCTGAGCCGCGACTTGAAGACTTCCAACGACCCAAACGCATATGGGTCGTGCAACTTGAGCCCCAGTGCCCAAGTCTTGGCACGTCCTGCCAGGTTTGACTGGGCAAATGCAACTTGCATATCCCCGTCGTCGATGCGGCGCGCCCTTATGGCGTCATCCAATTCGACGAACCATCTCAAGAGGGAGTCCTCTTCGACTCCCCTATACTTTGAGATGTCAATCTTCAAAGTCTCGGGCCGACGCGAGTGCATCGACCCGCCAGCAGCAGCCTGCTGCTGTCTCAACAGTTCAAACTGTTGAGCACCTTGTTCTCTCAACAACTCTGCTTGTTGAGAACCTTGTTGGTGAAGCAAGGCTACTTTCTCGCGTTCTGCGTCAAGTTCATTTTGAATGAACTTGGCGATAGTAGCATGTTGGGCATCTCTATTGAGAGCCTCTAGCATGACGCTAACAGCATGGATGCCCATGGTCGAACCCATTCGTTCAACCGCATCCCATTCGACATCGCTCATATGGGAGTAGTTGTCACGCGTAGCATAAAAGCTTTAGTCATCATCATCATCTAACATATTCATGCTAGATGTGAACGTGGTCCTTGGACGGACTACGAAGTGCTACCAGGTGTAACGGGGCACCCTGAAGCTTGTAATGGTGACAGTACAAGCTACTTATTCTGATGACAGAATAAGGCGGTGCCTCGTAACTTCACGTACACTCGTACGTTCAGAGGAAGACGGTAAGAAGAAGCGAGTACTTGGTTAAAGTAAAAAGTAGAACTGTATTTAGTATAGTTAATGTCTGCAATAAATCACTATTTATCTTCATCTAACTATGTCTAAATACAAATGTGAAATGAAATATCTGCTCACCACTCATTGCGTGCGTCTGTCGTGGCGCGTCTTCGTTGATTGATATAATGGCATATATCAACCAATTAGGAACTACTCGTAAGTGCTACAGAATATTTGTCCTTATGACAATATTCTGAGAATAAAACTCTTATAGTTATATTCTATTAACAATTTCTTATAAATTGTTATGTAACGATTCACCCCGTTACAAGAGCTGTTGAGAGAACAGGGTGCTCAACAGTTTGAACTGTTGAGACAGCAGCAGGCTGCTGCTGGTGGGTCGATGCACTCACGTCGACCCGAGACTTTGAAGATTGACATTTCTAAGTATAGGGGAGTCGAAGAGGACTCCTGTAGGACAATGTGCTTGTGGAGTACGAAGACGATTTAATTCTGTGTATTATTTGCCCTGGCTCCTGTCTGTCTGTCGCCTAGTCACCCTTTCTCCTAAAAGTCTCTGCTCCAACCGTCCCAAAGACAGATGGTTGCTGACCAACTTGTGTACTACCATCTAATACTGACTATATCTGACCAGATTGACGGCTGGCGCTAATCACAATTTACAATCTTCAACTTCAACTTCCAACACTTCTCCTCGATTACGCCTCCGTCCTTCCCCCTCTCCATCTTCTGTGTCTTTTCCAGCCTTGAGCGTCCTTGGCCTCGCCCTAGCCGATGCACATGAGCTCGCGCAACGTTCTCAGCTTTGTCGCGTCCATAGCCTTCGTCATGAGGTCCGCCAGCATTTGCCCCGACCGCACGTAGATCGCCACTTGGACACCACGATGCGCGAAGTAGCAGAGGAACTTGAGCCGAACGTCCACGTGTTTTGACTTCAGCGACGACGCCTCGCCGGCGATCTGGCTGATCGCCGCTTGGTTGTCAACGTGCAGCTGCATCGGGAGCGCCGGCTCGAGTCCCACTTCGCGCAACATCTCGCGCAGTCCGAGCACTTCGCGCGCGACCTCGCTTGCCGCGACGAACTCGGCCTTCATTGTCGACAGCGCGACGCCTCCTTGTTTTCGTGCTTTCAGCTCACGGCCATGCCGTTCAGGCGCACCACGCCGCCAGTCATTGACTTTCTGTCGGACTTATCGGCAGCGTAGTCTGCGTCGCTGAATGCCTCGAGCCGCATCGTCCCGTCCCCATCATACTCGGGCTTCATGGCGATCTTGAGCGCCGCCGTACCTTTGAGGTAACGTGAAACACGTTTGGCCATCTTCTAATCATGCATGCGAGGCGCATGCGTCTGACGGGTCGCCTTGTGCACCGCGAAAGCGATGTCCGGGAGCTTGCATCGCGCAACCCACAGCAGAGAGCCGACCAGCGACTGGAAGTCGCGCACCGTCGCTCCTGTCTTTGAGCCCGTGGTTCCTAAGAGCGCCGTGACGTCCGCTTCGATCTCGTAGCAGTCGTCGCCGATCGGCGTTCGTGTCGGGTTGGCATCGACGAGTCCGCTGTCTCTCACAAGGTCGCCAATCGCCTCTTCCTGGTCAAGCTTGTGTCCTCCCTCGCTGGCAAGCTGCACGCGCATGCCCAGAAACTTGCTGACTTGGCCCAAGTCCTTTATCGAAAGCGACGCGAGGCTTTCGAAGAGACTCTCCACCGCTGCCGCGCTAGTGCCTGTCGCAAGGAGATCGTCGACATACACGCCGACGACTACTAGATCCGCACCTTCCCGCTTCCAGTAGAAACACATGTCGCTCTCGCAGCGCACAAAACCGGCATCGACCAGCTTGGCGTGCAGCAGCAGGCTCCACAGCCTGCCCGCCTGCTTAAGGTCGTACAGGCTCTTGCGGAGCTCGAGCACGAGCTCGCTCGCACTCGTGGCGCCGTGCGTACGAAGCGTCTCCTCCGAAACCTGCATTCCGCGCGGCATCTGGAGGAAGATGCGCAGATGCGCCTCCTTCTCCGCCTTCACGCACGCGTTTGGGATGTCGCTGTGCTTGGCAGGCACCCCCCCCACGTGGCCGCGAGTGCCAGGATCACCTTGACCGTCGAGAGATCCATCACTGCGGCAAAGGTGAGCGTATAATCGACGCCGAGCACCTGCTCGTTGCCGCACGCGACCAGACGCGCCGTCAGTCGCTCGAGGTTACCCTGCGTGTCCGTCTCGGTCTTGTAGACCCACTTCGTGTGTAGCGCGTGCGTCCCTGGCGCGCGCTTCACGATCGTCCACACGTCGTAGCTCTGAAGAGCTGCTATTTCTTCTCTCATGGCCTTCATCCAGCCGTCACGCTTTCCACCGCGCATCGCCTCACTGTATCTTATCGGGTCGCGCTCGAAAGCCGTGTTCACCACTTCTCCGCTCTCAGTTAACGCCTCCTGTCGAGCTGCTGCTTCTGCACGTTTCGACGCGACGCGTGTTCCGTGCGCCGATCTCGTCCACGCTATTCCGCCCTTCTTGCGAGCCGTAGCGCGCCCGTCTGTGCTGCCACCACTCGTGATGGCTGCCACTGTCGTCTCGGCCTCCTTTGTGTCACCCGCTCGGTCGCCGGCGTCCATCGCGCGCTGGAGCTGCGCGTTCTGCGCCTCCGACAGCGTCGCGATGTCCTTGACGTGCTGCGTGACGACCACCTTGTTCTCGCGCTTCAGCAGCACCTTGTACCCCTGTGTCTTCTCGCTCACACCGACGATGATCTCGTGCTGTGATCGCTTCAGCAGCGAGTTCTTGCGCGGATCGCGGTAGACGCTGCACGGTCAGCCGAAGACGACGATGACGCGCAGATCCAGCACCTTGCCCGTCAGCATCTCGAGTGGCGACGCTCGCTTCTCGTTTGCGCGCGTTGGGCTCCTGTTCAGGATGTACACGGCGTCCTGGTTGAATTCGTCACATTATACTTTTTTACGGCATCTCCCAGATGGTTTGTTGGTGGAAGGCATGGTTATTCAGCTGTTCACCCGTTACCAATTCCGGTTTCGGCCCCCGGGGGGGGTTCGAACCCGCAATCAGCGACTTGGAAGTCAGCTTACTGCGCCACTACACCAGGGGTACACGGCGTCCTGGACGGCGTCGTCCCAGTACTGTAATGCCAGCGCGCTCGCGAACACCATGCTGCGCGCAAGATTTAACAGCGTCCGATGCATCCTCTCCGCCTTTCCGTTTGACGCTTGGTTTCGCGCCTCCGACACCTGGCGCGCTACACCCTTGCGTTTGCAAAACAGGTCAATGTTGGCGTACTAGCCGCCGCCGTCTGTCCTCAAGACGTGGATCTTGAACCCCAAACGCTGCTCGAAGTTAATGAGGAACGCCTCAAGATGCTTTGCCACCGTGTCCTTGGTGCGCGCGAAAAACACGCGGCAGTAGTTCGACTTGTGGTCGTTGAATTTAACCAAGTACCGGTTCTGTAACGGGGCACCCTGAAGCTTGTACTGGTAACAGTACAAGCTACTTATTCTGACGACAGAATAAGGCGGTGCCTCGTAACTTCACGTACACTCGTACGTGCAGAGGAAGACGGTAAGAAGAAGCGAGTACTTGGTTAGAGTAAAAAGTAGAACTGTATTTATAATAGTTAATGTCTGCTAATAAATCACTATTTATCATCATCTATGTCTGAATACAAATGTGCATATCAACTATCTGCTCACCACTCATTGCGTACGTCTGTCGTGGCGCGTCTTCGTTGGTTGATATAATGGCATATATCAACCAATTAGGAACTACTCGTAAGTGCTACAGAATATTTGTCCTTATGACAATATTCTGAGAATATAACTCTTATAGTTATATTCTATTAACAATTTCTTATAAATGTTATGCAACGATTCACCCCGTTACATCACCCCCCTTAACCATCAGTCACTTTAGTGACTGATTGACTAAATGGATACTCGTCCCAAATCATTTGGGACAGGGTTTGCACTTGTTGGTCCGAGTCCACTTCCCAACATTTCATCGCATGGTTAACAAGCCCATGCGATGCGCGAGCAAGGCCGCCGAGAGCGCGTCCGCAAGTCTTGTGCGGACGCCGAGGCAGAAATCACAGCAACTGATGTCTCATCGGTTGCTGAAGCGACCCAGCCTGTGTCACTTGGTGATGCAGGCGCTGGTCATGAAGACACTCATGTCTTCACAGAGTACGAGCTCGGTGTCTCGTACTCTCCTGATACGGAAGGTGGATCCGTATCGACGGCGATTGAATCCAAGCCGCCTGCCAAGCGTGGCATGGACGATGCTATGCGTCGTAGCATCTTTGGTTCATCTGATGAATCAGATGAACCACCGCCGAAGCGAAGGCGCTCGAGGTCGCGAGACTCGGGCGCTAACAGTGGTGTCGGTTCTCCTATGGACACCACTTCGCAACGAGGTGCCAGTACTTCTGTCGGCACATCGCAGGAAGAGCGGGACCGCAATGTCTTGCGTCTCGCTACTGAGAAGAAGGCATGGATGTTTCCAAAATCCTTCATGGATCACTTGTCGGCGACGACGAGTGATCGTTATCGAACACGATTGTTCGATTCGTCAAGGATCCATCACCTTGACCCCAGTGCGAAGAACTACCGAGCTGAGAATGAATTCTTCATCGATGCTTTCTTTAGGCATCGATGGTACAGTGGGAATCACAAACGTGATGGTCCCTCACTGCTTCAGGCGTGGAACGCCTACATCCATAACCTCGAGGATGTAGGTCGTGACGCTTGGAACGACAAACTTATCAGAGCTCGTGATAAGTTTGAAAAGCGAACCCCGACAGGTGCACGCTACAAGCTGCATCGTCTGTCAAGGGAGAAAGGATTACCCTGCCTCTCTTGGGGAGACTCGTGCCCATGTTGTGTGAACAACTCTGCACGAGCACCTAAGGAGGCTTACCTCCTTACCAGCCCGTGGTGGCGCGTACGTATCTCTACTGAGATGTACGAAGGGATTGACAACCTGAAATCCCTTTACGACCGTGCCGGGAAGAATTTCTCCGGCGGTCCTTCTGCGGCACAGGATGTGCCGCGTCGTACTGCTCAACCAGACCCAGTACGCCAACTATCAGTTGGGAGCGGGGCTCCCAAGAATCCCAGGACGGGGGATAGCCGCGCCACCGGACGAGATAACTCGTCCGACGTCCGTTCACGTCGCGGTGGTTCAACAGCTGCTCAACTAGATAGCGCTGGCCGCCGCGAGAGTCCTCTAATGGAGGTGGAGGAGGAGGAAAGACGCTCTCCACACGATCATGTGGATCGGTATGTTCCCGAGAGCTTCTTTGATCGCGTAACGCAAGGGTTACGCGACGATCTCGAACATGAGCGGAATAGGCGTCTCCAAATGGCGGACACTGCCTCGAAGCATCGAGCTGAGTTTGCCTTTGCTCAGCTTGAGAACGAGAGATCTCTGACATCTCTTCGTGACGAGCTAAGGGTAGCTCGTGGGATTGCTGATCGGTCTCGGGATGAGATAGCTGCTCTTCAGACCCTTGTTGATGCCCACCATCGGGAGCACAAGGCTCTCTGCGAGATGCTTGAGCGCAAGGGCGTTCTTCATCGGAAGAAGCATCGTACTGATGGTACGGCTTAAGCCGACCAACGTAAAACGTGGGATGCGTTCGCATCTTACGTGGTAACTCGATCGTGTATGCATTGCCTAGGCGGTGCAATACACGAAATGGGCCGATGTACTTGGGTAGTAGTTTACTGCTATCCAAGTTAGTCACTACATGCTTTGGTAGATTAACCGTAGACAGTAGGACTAAGTCACCTTTATTAAATATAAGAGTGTTTGCACTTCCATTCTTATCGGCGTTTTGCTTTTGCTTATCCACCGCTTCGGCGATGGAGTCTTGCACAAAACGGACTACCGTTTCACGAGCCAGTATGAACTCATCTGATGACTCGTTAGCTTCAGTGCGCTGTGAGCGCACTGCAGCAACATCAACCTTTTCTTCAGTGAGGGCTTCCGCACTCTCACTGGCATCATCTTCTTCGATATCGATGTTATCGATATCGGCATCAAACGCAATGACTTCTTCGTCAGAGCGTGATGAGCGTGAACCAAATCGGTTTTTGCTCGCGCGAGTCCCTTCCCCCCTTAAACCAGAGTTACACTTTAGTAAGGTGGCTACACGCGGATGGCGCAAGCCATTCACGTAAAACGGTGTATGTGTCGTGGACGCATGCACCGAGTTGTTAATGGCAAACTCTACCATTGGTAAAATCTCACTCCAACTTATAAAGGAGTGTACGTATCCTCGAAGTATCTCTTCGAGGACACGATTGGCACGTTCCGTCTGACCATCTGACTCTGGGTGATCGGGTGTCGACATCTTCAAGCGCGTTCCGAGTGATTTGAACACGGAATGCTAGAAATCAGCAGTGAAGCATGGACCTCTGTCTGATACGAGTTCACGGGGCAACCCATAAAGTCGGGAGATGGTGTCAATAAAGACACAAGCACAGCCACTTGCCGTGATTGTCTCTGGTACAGCCACAAGGTGTACCATTTTGCTGAATCTGTCAACAAATACGAGAATACCCGTATTCCCGCGTGCGTCTTTGGGTAACCCGAAGACGAAATCCATTGAGATGGATTCCCAGCACTCAGCCGTAACCGGTAGAGGCTGTAAAGGTGCACGCAGTGAAGGACTTGACTTCACTCGTTGGCAGACTTCGCATGCGCGAACATACTTTCGCACAAACTGATACTGGCGGGGCCAGTAAAAGTCTCGACTCACCGTGAGATATGTTTTCTCCCGGCCACGATGTCCTCCTATAGGAGCATCGTGATACTCGAACATGATCCGCAAACGCAGATCAGTATCATCTGGAATGACAACACGTGGTGTGTCACCAGAAACGGCTGTATAATACAGTAAACCGTTACGAGTAGTGTATCGATCTGATGCAGATCGATACGCAGACGACAATCGTTTCAACGATTCTCGGGATGGTTGTGAAAGATGTGCCAACAACTTCACTATCTCACCATCTTGGGCGTATGCCCGCCTCACATCATCATACAACGTTGTAGATGGGACTGAGGACTTCATAACCGCTACAGTGACTGTCTCACTGTTGGGTTTCGCGACTGTTTCAAAGCGGGACGACGTGAGAGTGCATCAGCGACGACATTAAGTCGTCCTGGTTTGTACTCGACCGTAAAGTTGTATTCTGCAAAGAATGACAACCACCGCGCCATTCGTTGTGAAAGGTGCGGGCTGTTCACTGCCGTGCGTAATGACGCATGGTCAGTGTAAACAACGAAGGGTCTATCTCCTAATAGATAGACTCTGAACTTCGCGAGTGCATACTTCATGGCAAGGAGTTCCTTGTCATGCACTGGATAGTTCCGCTCAGCTGGTTGCAGCTGACGCGACTGATAGCAGACGACGCGTTCAACGCCTTCAAGATCGTACTGCATTAATGCACAGCCGATTGCGAAATCGCTGGTATCACAGAACACATGAAATGGCCTGTCCTGATCGGCTATTGCTAGGACTGGGGATTGTATCAAGCTCTGCTTGATACCATCAAAGGAGCGTTGACATTCAGCGTTCCATAACCACCTCTCGTTCTTTTTCAACAAACGAGAGAGGTGCACAGTCATCTCGGCGTAATTGCGTGAATACTTATGCAAATACGCCGCTAGCCCAAGGAATTTTCGAAGACCTTTGACATCAACCGGCACAGCCCAGTCGGTGATCGCCTTGATCTTTTCGGGATCAGGACGTACACCGTTCTTACCAACGATGCACCCAAGAAGTGGTATTTCGCTTGCGGCAAATATACACTTCTTGAGGTTTGCATACAATTGATGCTTTCGCATGATTGTAAGAACCTGTCGGACGTGGTACCTGTGAACCTCAACGTCCGAATTTCCATCCATAGCTCGACTATGGATGAATACGTCATCGAAATAACTCGGCGCGAATTCTCGTACTGGTCTCAACAGATGTGATACACATCTGTTGAACGTGGCAGGGGCATTACTAAGCCCTTGTGGCATTACTAGCCATTCCCAGAGCATGCCGCTAGGCGTGCTAACTGCGGTATAGGGTATATCCCGTTCTTGCATAAGGATTTCATAGAAGCCATCCATCAAATCCATGGACGAAAAGATGGTTCTCTTTGACATACCATCAATGATTACGTCCTTCCTCGGTATAGGCGTCTGAGCCGGTACCGTTGCAGCATTCAACTTGTTAACTGCATGCACTATCCGCCACCCTCCTGTTGCTTTTCGCACACAGAAGGTCGGAGAGCTATGTGGGGAAGTTTATTCCCTCACATGGCCCGCAGCTAAACGATCGGCAAAGAACTTGTCAATCGCAAGTACTTGTTCACGAGGCAGTGGCCACTGCTTCATGACACAGTACTTCGAGCCTGGTTTAAGCTCGACCTCGTGTCGAATACCTTTATCCTTCGGTAATTCGCACGGAACAGTTTCAGGGAATACATCCTTGAATTCAACCAAATCTTCATAGAGAGGATTTTCCTTGAGCGATTCCCATGATTGGGAGTCATATCGCTCAATTCGTGTCTTTTCATCGAGGACACTCTTGTCCATAGATGAACTACTGAGAACTCTCTCGTTCCCAGTGAACACTGTTGCTGACCTTATGTCGGCTACACACTCGTCGTCAGCGACGAGTATGCAGATCTGCTTGACTTTGCCACTACGCAGATCACGCAAGAACCTTTTATGTTCGAGCGATGGCAACTGAGTGATCTCCGAAGTCAACTTCGGAGGCGCAATCAGATCAAGTGTGTAAGCGCCTACACTTGATCCGTTATTGACTAGGACATTCAATGTCTCTGTCATTTCCTGGGGACTTATTCCCTCAGGCTTCGAAGGACTTATTCCCTCAGGCTTCGAAGGACTTATTCCTTCGGCTTCCCGGGGACTTATTCCCGCGGGTTTCGGGGAACTTATTTCCGCCGTATTTGTAATCTTGGGACTTATTCCCTTTACTTCCTCTAGCTGGGGTTGCGCAACCACAGCGAGATCCTCTACGAAAGACTCTCCAGTCGATCTAGGATTATCGTTTCGCTTAACCTGAGCGATCGATTGTTTCTCTCTCTAGATGTTCCCCGCTAGGGATACATCTTTGTCCCGGTCCACTCGACTTATTCGAGTGGTGGACCTTCGGCGCAGCCTGTGTTTCCTCACAGCCGCCGGAACTTCGCTCCGAAGTGTAACCGTTTGGTACACTAAGGTTTTGCGCAGTCGTACTAACGACCGTACCACAAGTGAGGCCATCGCACTCACTCGTAGTACATCCACACGCTTGTGGACGCTCCAAAACGTTCATTAGATGGCCATCTGATGAACAAGCGGCAGGCATTGTTACTGTTCGATGTTGCCAGTTTACCCGTGGTTCGTACCTTCTGAGCCACGGTATTCCAAGGATGACATCAAATTTGTCATCCAAATCCAATACGATAAAGTCATCGTCACATTGGGTATCTTCTAGCGTATAGTGGATCTTCACTATACGCTTCACGACGGTTACGGATGCGCCTGTCGCAAGACGTACCGTCATCCTCGTAGAAGGTGTGTCACATTCACTGATCTTAAAAATGACCATCTTCTAGCGATTGGCGTCGCACAAAATTGTTGGACGCCCCACAATCGACTAGAGCTCGAAGGGACAACTTATTCGTCACTTCGAGTTTCAAGGTAATGAGTGAGATCTCATTACCTAGAGCAGCAACGCACAACGTTTGTGTGTTGGGAGCAACCTTCATCAAGAGGCCCACAAATTCTCTTGACGTTGCTGGACCAGTAGGGTGCTTCGCACCTACTGATCCTGTCCGTTTTTTGACGTTCCATCCCGTTGTTGCGTCTTTGCACCAACTGCGGACCCTCGTCCCTGCCCCTTTCTCATGGGTGGACGGTCACTACGCCCAGTGTCGCGAGACACTGGACGAGGGGCACTACACTCGTAAGCGTAGTGTCCTGTCTTCTGACATCTGTTGCATCTCTGCAACTTCTTGTAGCCTGTAGAGCGAGCCTTCTCGCTCTCTACATAACAGAGTACCATCGGCTCTGGACCTCCGTTGTCATATCGTCTCGGTTGACGATATGATGTCGAGCTGGCGCGAGCCTGTCTCAGACTGAAGTCTTCCTGTTCCGCAATGGAAATGGCTTGTTCTAGTGAATCTAGTTCAAGTCGGAACAGGTGAGTCTTGACGGGATCATCCGCAAGACCCTGCATGAACACCGAAACCAACCTGTGTTCATCAACTGAGTTGGAACTTATACAACTCGTGAGATGTCGTATGTGTTGAGCGTAAGCGTGCACATCACGCTTACCCTGCTTGAGCTTCAAGAGTTCGGTTCGAGCCCTGAACTCAGCTCTAGGCGGTTCAAACGTTTGTCTGAGCCGCGACTTGAAGACTTCCAACGACCCAAACGCATATGGGTCGTGCAACTTGAGCCCCAGTGCCCAAGTCTTGGCACGTCCTGCCAGGTTTGACTGGGCAAATGCAACTTGCATATCCCCGTCGTCGACGCGGCGCGCCCTTATGGCGTCATCCAATTCGACGAACCATCTCAAGAGGGAGTCTTCTTCGACCCCCCTATACTTGGAGATGTCAATCTTCAAAGTCTCGGGTCGACGCGAGTGCATCGACCCACCAGCAGCAGCCTGCTGCTGTCTCAACAGTTCAAACTGTTGAGTACCCTGTTCTCTCAACAACTCTGCTTGTTGAGAAACTTGTTGGTGAAGCAAGGCTACTTTCTCGCGTTCTGCGTCAAGTTCATTTTGAATGAACTTGGCGATAGTAGCATGTTGGGCATCTCTATTGAGAGCCTCTAGCATGACGCTAACAGCATGGATGCCCATGGTCGAACCCATTCGTTCAACCGCATCCCATTCGACATCGCTCAAATGGGAGTAGCCGTCACGCGTAGCGTGAAAGCTTTGGTCATCTTCATCATCCAACATATTCATGTTGGATGTGAACGCGGTCCTTGGACGGACTACGAAGTGCTACCAGGTGTAACGGGGCACCCTGAAGCTTGTACTGGTGACAGTACAAGCTAATTATTCTGATAACAGAATAAGGCGGTGCCTCGTAACTTCACGTACACTCGTACGTGCAGAGGAAGACGGTAAGAAGAAGCGAGTACTTGGTTAAAGTAAAAGTAGAACTGTATTTATAATAGTTAATGTCTGCAATAAATCACTATTTATCTTCATCTAACTATGTCTAAATACAAATGTGTAAATCAGTTATCTGCTCACCACTCATTGCGTGCGTCTGTCGTGGCGCGTCTTCGTTGGTTGATATAATGGCCTATATCAACCAATTAGGAACTACTCGTAAGTGCTACAGAATATTTGTCCTTATGACAATATTCTGAGAATATAACTCTTATAGTTATATTCTATTAACAATTTCTTATAAATTGTTATGTAACGATTCACCCCGTTACAGGTTCTGTAGTCGGTCCCGAGGCGTCATCGGGCCCTTAAGGTCCGAGCAGATGACGCCACCGATGCGATCGATAGGCGAGTTGGTGCCGCTGTCCTCCTGCGACTGCGCATTGCGCGTCTACTTCGCTTCCATGCACGACACGCACGCCATGCGCTTGTCGCTGCTGAGCTTGATGCCCGAGGCCGGATCGCGCGCCATTCGAACGATCGTGTCGAACGCGAGGTGCCCGATCCGCTGGTGCCAGTGCAGCAGCGAGGCCTCGTGCGCATCGTCTGCGCTTGCATCTGCCGAATGTGCTTCGAGCGCGGCCAAGATTGCATCACCGGCGCCGTGCCTCCGACTCGTCGCTGTCGTCTCCACATATAGCACGTTGCTGTCGGTCGCGACGTCGAACGCGACTAAGCCGTCACTGCGTCGAGCTAGAGCCCGCTTGTCGCCGTCGTAAACGAGTCCGTAGCCTTTGCTCTCGAGCTTCCCGTACGACACGATATTCTTCGCCAGTCGCGGTGCCAGATACACGTCCGTGAGCGTCACGATCGTCTTTACACCACGCGCGAGGACCTCGAGGCGCACGCTGCCAGCACGCGTCAGTCGCAACACTTCACCATCCGCCATGGAGATCTCGTGACTACAAGAGGATGAGTCAAGCAGAAGCGACTCGTCGTTCACTAAATGTCGGCTTGCGCCGCTGTCGAGGATCCAGTCGCCTCGCCCGATCTTGCTAGCGTCGTTCGTTGCAAGTACTAGGCCGAGCGAGTCGTCCGTGGCTTAAGCTTTGCCTCTCGCGTCGCCTACAGCAGTTTTCTTGCCGCGCGAGCTCCTCTTCTTCTTGTAGCGTCGTCTCGAGACCTCGCCCGGCGACTTTTCGGTCAGCGCTAGGATTATGCTGCCCCCGCTTTGCGCACGCGCTTCTTCGTCATGCACCACACGCGCGCTGCAGTCGGACGCAATGTGCCCAGGTATGCCGTACCGGTAACACACGCGCGGCCCCTTGGGTGTCGTCTCGACATGTGCTGCGACCACCTCGCGGCCGACCACGCCAGTGCCGTGTTCGATCGACTGAGCAAAGTGCGCCAGCTCTTCTGCATGACGCAGGTAATCGACCCGCGTCGGGTCGTACTTCGCGCGCATGAAGTTCATTATTTGGGCGACGCGTGATGCACGATGTTGTCGATCACGAGTAAGTCGGCGCCGCCGCGCGCCTCGCTTACTGCAACCATGAAGAGAAAGTGCTCGGCCCAGGTCCGTCGCGTCTCTTTCTTTGCCATGAAGAGATTCATGGCCTGACTTGCAGTAATCGTGGTCTTGAACGTGAGCAGCAGCTGCTCGAGGATGTACTCGAGGCGCGGCATCTGCACCCACCAGGTGTCAACCTGCTTGTGGTAGTACCGCTCCGCAGTGCCCGCCAGGAAGTGGCCGAGGAGGTCCACCTTGACGTCCTCGGTCCACGCGAAACCGCACGACGCTTCTCCGAGGCTCACGGCACGTATGAACGTACGGGCCCAGTCGAGAAGCCGCTACCGAGCCCGAGGTACAACTCTGTCCCGTCAAACTTTCGGATGTTCAGCTTCCGCTGACTTGCAGACGGCATCCCGTAGCCGTTCAGTCCCGGACGCACGTCTGCTTGCGGCGGCGCGGGCTGCTGCTGCGGCAAGCGCGCACCAGGTGGCTCGAGCGTCGCGAAGCGAGACACACCGAGTTCATCCGCGCGCTGATACGCTGGCAACGCAGTTGTCTTCCTCTCCGGCGACCCGAGCGCGTCGATCGTCATCGGACGCCCGCGCATGTTCGCGCCGAGCTTTAATGCAATCACACCACTTTCGACAGCGCCCAGCATGCGCTCGTCTTCAATGTGCACCCGCTGCGATGATATCAACGTTGCGAGGCGTTCCGTCACACTCGCGAGTGCTGCGAGGATCTTGTCGTCACGCGTCTCCTGCGCGGACGAGTCTTCAACGACTGCGGACGTGGTGACCGGTGTGGGCACACGCGATGGCGAGCCACGCCCAGGGGTAGGTTGCGCGACACCACCTAGTGTCTTCGTAGTCGGTTCTCTGGCTCCTGTCATTGGGCTCATAACCTGCAGGACAATATGCTTGTGGAGTACGAAGACGATTTAATTCTGTGTATTATTTGCCCTGTCTCCTGTCTGTCTGTCTCCTAGTCACCATTTCTTTTAAAGGTCTCTGCTCCAGCCTTCCCAAAGACAGATGGTTGCTGACCAACTTGTGTACTACCATCTAATACTGACTATATCTGACCAGATTGACGGCTGGCGCTAATCACAATTTACAATCTTCAACTTCAACTTCCAACAACTCCCTCTTGAGATGGTTCGTCGAATTGGATGACGCCATAAGGGCGCGTCGCATCGACAACGGGGATATGCAAGTTGTATTTGCCCAGTCAAATCTGGCAGGACGTGCCAAGACTTGGGCACTGGGGCTCAAGCTGCACGACCCATATGCGTTTGGGTCGTTGGAAGTCTTCAAGTCGCGGCTCAGACAAACGTTTGAACCGCCTAGAGCTGAGTTCAGAGCTCGAACTGAGCTCTTGAAGCTCAAGAAGGGTAATCGTGATGTGCACGCTTACGCGCAACACATACGACATCTCACGAGTTGTATAAGTTCCAACTCAGTTGATGAACACAGGTTGGTTTCGGTGTTCATGCAGGGTCTTGCGGATGATCCCGTCAAGACTCACCTGTTCCGACTTGAACTAGATTCACTAGAACAAGCCATTTCCATTGCGGAACAGGAAGACTTCAGTCTGAGACAGGCTCGCGCCAGCCCGACATCATATCGTCAACCGAGACGATATGACAACGGATGTCCAGAGCCGATGGAACTCTGTTATCTAGAGAGCGAGAAGGCTCGCTCTACATACTACAAGAAGTTGCAGAAATGCAACAGATGTCAGAAGACAGGACACTACGCTTACGAGTGTAGTGCCCCTCGTCCAGTGTCTCGCAACACTGGGCGTAGTGACCGTCCACCCATGAGAAAGGGGCAGGGACGAGGGTCCGCCGTTGGTGCAAAGATGCAACAACGGGATGGACCGTCAAAAAACGGACAGGATAAGTAGGTGCGGAGCACCCTACTGGTCCAGCAACGTCAAGAGATTTTGTGGGCCTCTTGATGAAGGTTGCTCCCAACACACAAACGTTGTGCGTTGCTGCTCTAGGTAATGAGATCTCACTCATTACCTTGAAACTAGAAGGGACGAATAAGTTGTCCCTTCAAGCTCTAGTCGATTGTGGGGCGTCCAACAATTTTGTGCGACGCCAATCGCTAGAAGATGGTCATTTTTAAGATCAGTGAATGTGACACACCTTCTACGAGGATGAAGGTACGTCTTGCGACAGGCGCATCCGTAACCGTAGTGAAGCGTATAGTGAAGATCCACTATACGCTAGAAGATACCCAATGTGACGATGACTTTATCGTATTGGATTTGGATGACAAATTTGATGTCATCCTTGGAATACCGTGGCTCAGAAGGTACGAACCACGGGTAAACTGGCAACATCGAACAGTAACAATGCCTGCCGCTTGTTCATCAGATGGCCATCTAATGAACGTTTTGGAGCGTCCACAAGCGTGTGGATGTACTACGAGTGAGTGCGATGGCCTCACTTGTGGTACGGTCGTTAGTACGACTGCACAAAACCTTAGTGTACCAAACGGTTACACTTCGGAGAAAAGTTCCGGCGGCTGTGAGGAAACACAGGCTGCGCCGAAGGTCCACCACTCGAATAAGTCGAGTGGACCGGGACAAAGATGTATCCCTAGCGGGGAACATCTAGAAGAGAAACAATCGATCGCTCAGGTTAAGCGAAACGATAATCCTAGATCGACTGGAGAGTCCATCGTAGAGGATCTCGCTGTGGTTGCGCAACCCCAGCTAGAGGAAGTAAAGGGAATAAGTCCCAAGATTACAAATACGGCGGAAATAAGTTCCCCGAAACCCGTGGGAATAAGTCCCCGGGAAGCCGAAGTAATAAGTCCTTCGAAGCCTGAGGGAATAAGTCCCCAGGAAATGACAGAGACATTGAATGTCATAGTCAATAACGGATCAAGTGTAGGCGCTTATACACTTGATCTGATTGCGCCTCCGAAGTTGACTTCGGAGATCACTCAGTTGCCAACGCTCGAACATAAAAGGTTCTTGCGTGATCTGCCTAGTGGCAAAGTCAAGCAGATCTGCGTACTCGTCGCTGACGACGAGTGCGTAGCCGACATAAGGTCAGCAACAGTGTTCACTGAGAACGAGAGATTTCTCAGTAGTTCATCGATGGACAAGAGTGTCCTCGATGAAAAGACACGAATTGAGCGATATGACTCCCAATCCTGGGAATCGCTCAAGACAAATCCTCTCTATGAAGATTTGGTTGAATTCAAGGATGTATTCCCTGAAACTGTTCCGTGCGAATTACCGAAGGATAAAGGTATTCGACACGAGGTCGAGCTTAAACCAGGCTCGAAGTACTGTGTCATGAAGCAGTGGCCACTGCCTCGTGAACAAGTACTTGCGATTGACAAGTTCTTTGCCGATCGTTTAGCTGCGGGCCATGTGAGGGAATCAACTTCCCCACATAGCTCTCCGACCTTCTGTGTGCGAAAAGCAACAGGAGGGTGGCGGATAGTGCATGCAGTTAACAAGTTGAATGCTGCAACGGTACCGGCTCAGACGCCTATACCGAGGAAGGACGTAATCATTGATGGTATGTCAAAGAGAACCATCTTTTCGTCCATGGATTTGATGGATGGCTTCTATGAAATCCTTATGCAAGAACGGGATATACCCTATACCGCAGTTAGCACGCCTAGCGGCATGCTCTGGGAATGGCTAGTAATGCCACAAGGGCTTAGTAATGCCCCTGCCACGTTCAACAGATGTGTATCACATCTGTTGAGACCAGTACGAGAATTCGCGCCGAGTTATTTCGATGACGTATTCATCCATAGTCGAGCTATGGATGGAAAGTCGGACGTTGAGGTTCACAGGTACCACGTCCGACAGGTTCTTACAATCATGCGAAAGCATCAATTGTATGCAAACCTCAAGAAGTGTATATTTGCCGCAAGCGAAATACCACTTCTTGGGTGCATCGTTGGTAAGAACGGTGTACGTCCTGATCCCGAAAAGATCAAGGCGATCACCGACTGGGCTGTGCCGGTTGATGTCAAAGGTCTTCGAAAATTCCTTGGGCTAGCGGCGTATTTGCATAAGTATTCACGCAATTACGCCGAGATGACTGTACACCTCTCTCGTTTGTTGAAAAAGAACGAGAGGTGGTTATGGAACGCTGAATGTCAACGCTCCTTTGATGGTATCAAGCAGAGCTTGATACAATCCCCAGTCCTAGCAATAGCCGATCAGGACAGGCCATTTCATGTGGTCTGTGATACCAGCGATTTCGCAATCGGCTGTGCATTAATGCAGTACGATCTTGAAGGCGTTGAACGCGTCGTCTGCTATCAGTCGCGTCAGCTGCAACCAGCTGAGCGGAACTATCCAGTGCATGACAAGGAACTCCTTGCCATGAAGTATGCACTCGCGAAGTTCAGAGTCTATCTATTAGGAGATAGACCCTTCGTTGTTTACACTGACCATGCGTCATTACGCACGGCAGTGAACAGCCCGCACCTTTCACAACGAATGGCGCGGTGGTTGTCATTCTTTGCAGAATACAACTTTACGGTCGAGTACAAACCAGGACGACTTAATGTCGTCGCTGATGCACTCTCACGTCGTCCCGCTTTGAACCAGTCGTGAAACCCAACATTGAGACAGTCACTGTTGCGGTTATAACGTCCTCAGTCCCATCTTCAACGTTGCATGATGATGTGAGGCGGGCATACGCCCAAGATGGTGAGATAGTGAAGTTGTTGGCACATCTTTCACAACCATCTCGAGAATCGTTGAAACGATTGTCGTCTGCGTATCGATCTGCATCAGATCAATACACTACTCGCAACGGGTTACTGTATTATACAGCCGTTACTGGTGACACACCACGTGTTGTCATTCCAGATGATACTGACCTGCGTTTGCGGATCATGTTCGAGTATCACGATGCTCCTATAGGAGGACATCGTGGCCGAGAGAAAACATATCTCACGGTAAGTCGAGACTTTTACTGGCCCCGCCAGTATCAGTTTGTGCGAAAGTATGTTCGCGCATGCGAAGTCTGCCAACGGGTGAAGTCAAGTCCTTCACTGAGTGCACCTTTACAGACTCTACCGGTTCCGGCTGAGTGCTGGGAATCCATCTCAATGGATTTTGTCTTCGGGTTACCCAAAGACGCACGCGGGAATACGGGTATTCTCGTATTTGTTGACAGATTCAGCAAAATGGTACACCTTGTGGCTGTAACAGAGTCAATCACAGCAAGTGGCTGTGCTTGTGTCTTTATTGACACCATCTTCCGACTTCATGGGTTGCCCCGTGAACTCGTATCAGACAGAGGTCCATGCTTCACTGCTGATTTCTAGCGTTCCGTGTTCAAATCACTCGGAACGCGCTTGAAGATGTCGACACCTGATCACCCAGAGTCAGATGGTCAGACGGAACGTGCCAATCGTGTCCTCGAAGAGATACTTCGAGGATACGTACACTCCTTTATAAGTTGGAGTGAGATTTTACCAATGGTAGAGTTTGCCATTAACAACTCGGTGCATGCGTCCACGACACATACACCGTTTTACGTGAATGGCTTGCGCCATCCGCGTGTAGCCACCTTACTAAAGTGTAACTCTGGTTTAAGGGGGGAAGGGACTCGCGCGAGCAAAAACCGATTTGGTTCACGCTCATCACGCTCTGACGAAGAAGTCATTGCGTTTGATGCCGATATCGATAACATCGATATCGAAGAAGATGATGCCAGTGAGAGTGCGGAAGCCCTCACTGAAGAAAAGGTTGATGTTGCTGCAGTGCGCTCACAGCGCACTGAAGCTAACGAGTCATCAGATGAGTTCATACTGGCTCGTGAAACGGTAGTCCGTTTTGTGCAAGACTCCATCGCCGAAGCGGTGGATAAGCAAAAGCAAAACGCCGATAAGAATG